CTTTTGGGATCAATATTATGTATGTCTCCCCCCATGACTAGAGTAACTTCGCTGTCATCAGTACCTCATTGTAAAGTTCTAATAATTGCATTTCTAATTTTTCTTGGAGCGTTTTATACAGTTCTCCTGGGAGGCCATCCAGTCCCGATGTCTTATTGCTTTTCTGCTTCAGGTTTGCTTCTTGCTGTTCTTTTAGTGTTATTTCCCTCTTTATCTCTTCTTTATTCTTTTCTGGGATCGCGGGTAGCCTTTCCCTAACAATATTTTGTTAGATATTTTTCTCTGGTACGTCTTCCCTACTATATAATTCCTTAAAAAAGACTTTTAACAATGTTTTTTCTTTTCAATTTTATGTTGTAACATACCATCGGTATCCTTCAATTGGTGTTCTTTTTTCCTTTTCTTTCTTAAGTCTACAGGCTAGCCACCTTCCCGGCTTGTTCGTGTATTCAAAGTAATTCTATTTTATCTTTTTCATGTCCTGTAACCATCTCGCGCTAACATATTCAGTTTATGCCTGATCATTATCTTTTCTGTATTTGCTGTCTTGTTATGTGGTGTTTTTTCTAGTGTTTTTTTCTAGCTCCTTAAGGGTGTCTAGTAGTTTAGATTGTTCTCCTTTTTTCCCCTTGTATCTACATGTATTATATGAAATTGCTAAGCCCCTAATGTATGTTTTAGTCGTATCCCATAAGTTTGGAATTGATGTTTGTTGTTTTTTATTTTCTTTCAGAAAGAACTCCAATTCTTTTTCCATCATCTTAACACATTTTTTTTCTTTTAGGATCTCCCTGTTTAACATCCATCTTCTATTTTTCAATCCTTTCCAAATTATTTTAATAGGATTATGGTCTACCCATGTGTTAGTTTCAATTTCTGTTTCTTTTATATTCCATTCAATTTCCACATTTGTCCATAGCATATCCAATCCTGACCATGATGTATGTGGTGCTGAATAGTAAGTATATTGCTTTTCTGTCTGGATTTCTTTCTCTCTCTTTTAATCCTAATTCTTCCGCCATTTGATAGAATACTTTTGGTAGTATTTTCCTTTTCCTTTTACCCCCTGGATTTTCATTATTATAATCTTTTCCTAAATTTGCTATCACATTGAAATCACCTAGCAGGCATATTCCTGCTCTACTAGTTTTCTGTATAATTTAGTGTAAACATTTTCTTGTTTCTTGTTCGGTGCATATATCACTGTCAATAACATTTTCTTATAGTTTATATAAATTTCTAACATCAGAATCCTAATCTCCTCGTCTGCATATACCTGTTTTGCTTGTAAATATTTCCTAATATATATTGCTATCCCTCCTTTTTTTGTTGGGCTAGAGATACATATAAATCTCCTAACTTCGCTTCTAAGAGTTTATTTTGATGTTTTTGAAGGCATATAATATCTAAGTTCAATTTCTGTAATTTATTTATTGTTTTTTTTCTTCTTAATTTGTGAATTTAAACCGTTAATGTTAAAGATCAATTTGATTTCTTCTGCCATCTTACTCTGTAGTTATTACTTGTTGATGCTTATTTGCTTTTGTTTCCTTTGGTGTCTTGTTCTTACACCTTCTCTTTCCACTTCTTCTTGCTCTTTACTCTTGTTTTATTTCTCTTTTCTCCACCTGATCTTCTTCTTGACTCCTACTTTCCACTTCCTCTTTGCTGATCTGGTCTTCTCCTGATATAACATACAGTTCAAAAAATTCCCTCGCTTTTTCTATAGTCTATTTTAAATTTTTTGTCCTGCCATGATATTAACATTCCCTCTGAGATGAGCCATCTAAACAGGATGTTATTTTTATTCAGTTGGGCGGCCAAGAATCTGTAGTTCTTTCTGTTTCCTTCTTCTTCTTCAAATTTGTTTCAATGTTACAATTTATGTCCCCTTAAATATCAATGGTTTGTCTCTCGTCACTTTGTATATCTCATCTCTCAGCTGTTTGAGAATCGTATGTGAACCTCTCTTGGAAGTTTAAAACATCTTGTATAAGTATAAATTCTATATACCTCAGAAATTTCCCTTCGAACCTCTTGGCCCTCTTTTTGTAACGCTTCTGCTATGAGATCTGCCATTAATTTGGGCAAATCCTCCCTTCTTTCTTCTGTTACATTCTGAAATCTGAGGAAAAAACCAGCCTTTTCCATCTCCAAATATGAAATTGCCTCCTCTAATTTCCTGCTCTCTCCCATTAATTTCTGTTCTATTGATTCTACTTTCTTGTCTGTCTGTTTGACCTCTGCCTCCACTGCTTTCATCTTATGTTCCATCTTTGCTTTGTTGGATTGTACCTATCTTATCATCTAGTTTCCATATTTCACCTTTCATTTCCCCCATTTCAGTTTTAAAGTCTGCATGGTTTCTCACCATCATTTCTTGTATTGTCGCTAGTACCATTTGGATTGTTTGCATATTTGTTACCTGACTTGTCTTCTCAGGATTCAGCATGCCCTCTATAGAACATTGTCCTACTGGTGATGCTATTGTTGATGCTGGGTTGGCTGTTGTTTTCTTCCCAGTTTTAGCAATGGTTGTCGTGGTGGACATCTCAGGCTTCCCAAATCTACCTATTTTCTTAAGAAAATCTTTCAATATTATCATCTGTTATATCAACTCCCTTCTGAGTTTTCTATGTTTATCTCTTTCCTATTATCTCATTCTAATCACTTCAATTTATCACTTCAGGGTCTAATATACTTAATAATGTCTATCCTTAGTTTTATGTACGCACACACAAACACACACACATATGTATTTATGCAACAAGGTAAAGATAAATATTATTGTTTATAATCTACTGTAGAATCTGTAACCCTCTTAATTTTCTAATTTTTTCTTAATCCTTTAAATAAATCAGTTAATTATAATCCTAAATATAATAGCTTATATAGTAAACATATAATTCAAGAAATATAAATATTCCTCCATTGAAATATATTAGTTATTTTCTTATATACTATATCTTATGAATATCTTATAGCTCAATTAAATCTGTATGAATCAGTTAATTAATTATACAACAAATAATTAATTTGTTGTTCCCATACTAATATCCAAGGTATCAAAATATGAAAAGGTATGAAGGGTATATAAGATATAAAGAGTGTGAAAAGTGTAGCAATCTATGAAATAGGATACGTAAGTTAATTCTTCTTACAATCAGCTATATATGTATATATATTGTTATTTTTTAAAACAAATTTAATACTTAGAAATTATTCAGCTTTTTTCTTCTTTCTTCCTTCTTTTTCCTTTCTTCTACACACCATCGTTACTTTCCCCATTTCCTTTTTCATCAGCTGTTTTTAACTACTTAGTAACTTTCACTCTCAAATTGCAGTCATTGCTCTATCAAAATGATTCTGCTCTCCGTTCAGCTACAGTTCTCCAATAAAGTTCCAATTGTTATCTCTAATGTCCCTTTTCTGCTCTGCTAGTAATCAGTCGAAATCATAGAAATTTTATTCGTAGGGTCTCAATCTTTTCTTCCATTGCTCGCTCTCTCAACTGTCAAACTGTTCAATTGTCTCTTCCTCTCCCTTTCGCTCCGCTATCCCCTGCCAATTCACCGCTGTGTTCACTTTCCCTGGAGACTCCCTCTGTCAAAAATCTTTCACGGGACTCTCTTCTCTCACCTCTGAAACTGTCCTGGTCTGCCGTTTTTTTTTTTGATGTCTTGTGTTGATCCACTTTCTTGCTTCCTGATCGAAGCTGGCTGTCACGGCTTCGGACCCACCATAGATGCCGGGTTTCTTATGCTCCGGATTCGAACGGCTTCCCCTCATCACAGCGGGAGGTTGCTTTCCTCCACGCTGCTCCTATGTTTCCCCTTCTGATTCGTGTATCTCTCCAAGATTCGCGATGCCTCTGAGAGCTTCCAAGCACGAAAATTCAGATAAAGGGTTGCAGAGATCACTCTCCTGCTCCACTCCGCCATGACCTCACCACCAAAAGTCTCTCCATTGTTTAAATTTCATTAGACTTGAGTGATATTATAAAGTGACCATTGTAGCAGACTGGAAAAATCTAAAGAAGGGATCCTTTTTCTAATGGGGACCACTGTAGAATCATTTGAAGGTTGACATATTCCAACTTTTGCTCAGGAACTCAAGCTGGGATATTAATGCTTAATAGAGATATTTTTAGTTGCCACCAGATTTAACATCAGTGCTGGAACAACTCAGCAGAAAGGCAAAAATAACCTTAAGAAGTGTTACCCTAGATCTCACGCACATTTGGTGGTTTTCTCAAAAGTATTACAGAAATAGTTTGCTATTACCTTTTTCTGCTATTCCTTTGACTTCCCAATTGGAAAAAACTGGTACCAAGATATAATACTGAGGCAGCTGTTTTATGTACAGGGGTACATAAACTGGCAGCTCAAGTTTACATTATTCATCAATGGAAACAAATATTCATAACTTTTTCCCTGTAGCAAGCTTGCTCAAGAGATACATAATACTATGTAACACATAGGAAATGGCTGTGTTGTTGTTGTTAGTCCGAAGAAATGTCCGATCCATTGTGACCGCATGGACAATGTTCGTCCAGGCCTTCCTGTCCTTTACCATCCCCAAGAGTCTGTTTAAGTTCATGCTAACTACTTCAGTGATTCCATCCAGCCACCTCATTCTCTGCCATCCCCTTCTTTTGCTCTCCATCGTTTCCAGCATTAGGCTCTTCTCCAGTGAGTCCTTCCTTCTCATTAGGTGGCCAAAGTATTTAACTTTGGCTGTATGTGTATGTACCTATAAAGGAGAATATTTGTTGGGCTGTTTGCTGTTAGCTTGTTTGGCAGATCCTTGATTAGCGTATTTACTTCTTGATTTGCTTTTTATTGATGAACAATCAGATGAGCATAGATTAACATCAAGACTAACAATCAACTATGTAAGTATATAAATACATTCTATATCTTCCTAAAGGCTTCTGAGCTGGCAAGTTTTAGTCTGGAGACTGCATAGAGACGAGCATAATAAACATACATTTTATATCTGTGTTTATACTATTTTATACTATTTGTGTACTCAAGTAGCATAAAAATGCAGAAACTACATTTCTAGGAGAAAGCACACAAAAATGGCAGGAGCCATTACAATCGTATGGAGCAATGTGTGATGGCTGCTTTTTAAAAATCCTGAAGGGTGAAGCAATCCAGGATACTATTTTTCAATATTAAATTATCTGCAAGTTATTGTAAGGAGAGGAAATTACCATTTTCCTGTTTTCTAAGCAACCTAGGAATTATTCAAATAATTTCCCCTTATATGAATGAAAGGGGCACTTGGGCTAGGAAATTCTTCAAATTATAAGTGAGTTCAACTCTCTTTAATTGCACAGCTAATACAAGTATAAAGTATACTATAAACCATGGCATATCAGAAATTTATGGATCATTCATGGCATGGTATTGGTATTCCATGTTATGAATTATCCATAAATTCCGTTGAGAATTCTGTTTTATTCTATAACTTCTTTTAAACAGTATTAAGCTGATTTTAAGAAATAATGGACCCCATTAAAGTAGTGAAAAATAAAGATACGTATTGATGTCAGGATGTATACAGGTAGATATTGGCAAAAGCACTCCAACACAAAACTGAGATATAGTGGGTCCCACAATATTGATGAAGTATAAAACAATACAAAAATTGTTAGATTTTAGTGTAAATCACAAGAAGTTTCTAATATAGTCAAAGTTAAGAGCAGCAACCCCCAATCATTTGGGCACCAGAAACCCATTCTGTAGAGAGAGGTTTTTCCACGGACCGAGGGGGTTGTGGTTTCATGTGCTGCCTGCATCCCACAGAGAGGGCTTTGCTTGTTTGCATGGCCCATCTTCTGGCATGCCTCAGCCTAGTGCCAGTCCATGGACTAGGGTTTGGGAAGCATTTCTTGTGTGGAACATTACAAACAGTAAGTGTAAGAAGTTTATTTTTATGAAATTGTGTACCATTTAAAAAGCAAACATTGAACAGACTAATTAGCTAATGATAAATTTTATTTGGGGGTTCTAAACCTATGCATGTGCTTTGTAATTTGTTTTGTACATACAAAAATGTACAGAATCATAATAATGGCAACTATAATATTGACAATTGCACCACTCTTACCTATTATTTTTTGAGCAGTTATTAGTGGTAGATAATTTGATAATTTTGCCTTCTTTTTAATTATAGAAGAAATAAACTGAACTTCTAATATGCTTTTAGAAAAATAGAAAATTCCAGCCACTTCATTGGTACACTAACAAAAGAGAAGGGAGAAGTACATTAATGGGAAAAAACGTTCTCTAGATACTAATTGGACATAAGAGAGGCACATAACATTTTAATATAAGTTAAATCTTTAAGCCTTCAAATAAAGTGATGATCAACTATGGCATCGTAAAAGTTGTACATGGTTGTTTGTGTAGATATGTACTAAATACATGACAGTCTTAAAAATATCAGATTAAGCAAATTCTTAATGAAAACACTAGCTGTTCTAATAAAAAATGCAAAGCTTTATACAATATTGGAGTCTTAAACTTAGTGCAACTTATCAAAAAGTTTACTAAAGATTATAGTCTTTCTCAAAATCCCATGTTAAATCTAATATAAGGAGCTTGAATTACAAGTTAAACTCTTTAAGACTTTGGTATAATTTTGGATTTTGCAATTCAGATATAAAATTCAGTAAATCAGGCTTTATATACTAAGCATTAAAATGATTATTTCCATACTAATCTTCTGAATAAAATATCAAGGGCAACAGAATTAATTTTAATATTCTTAAATGAAATAAATGGTTATAACACTAACATTTAACGTATCTTCCTAAATACTGGTACTAGCTGTTACGTCAATTTAATTTTCCTACAGACATAGCAGAACATTACTGTTGATGGCTCAGGACCCCAAGCTTATATGTACATCCTAAACAATTACAGGATTGGGCTATTAAACATATACCTTCTAAGCAAGCAAATGAATATATGTGGAACGGACCTAAAGTGTATAAAGCTATTTTCACAGAGTCATTGTTGTGATCTAATATTGCAATTTATATTCTTCCCACAGAATTATCTGCAAACTGACTCAAAATTTTAATTCACTGCATCAGATAACTGCACTAACTCTTTTAAAATGCTGCTATGCATTTTTCCTTTCTAAGAATAGTATAGGTTATTGCACAAATGTATTTTTGATTATGTTAACACTTGTTTCCTTATTTACTGCTTGCATAGAAATATGCTAAAATTACATTTAAAATGCTATATAAAAAGTAAGAAATGTTACTTTTAAAAGTAGTGTCCTGAGAATAGTACAAAATTAATTATACAAGCCCTGCACTTTTGTTTTATTTGCAGCATCTATTCCCAGTCAAAATCTGTTTCACATGAAATTGTATTGACAGTTTTTCCACAAAAATATTTTAGTAAATTGTTTATAATTTGCATTTAAGTAATCTATCCAATTATTTTTTGAGACTTTCACACGAGTAAAATAAGACTAGTTCAAAATAATTACACTACAAGGCCTATTTTAGCACATAGAAAATTTTGAAAGCTTTGTACATTTTTATATTTTGGTCAAAAAAATTAAGTGTACAGTTATTACATTTTTAACAAAAACAAATTTCAAACTCTTGATTTTTTTAAAAAATATAAATCTATACTATTTATCATACATTAGAATAGTTTTCTTTTGCAACTTTTTCTTATTTATTTCACAAATGAAAGCTAAACGCTATGATTCAAATGCCAGCGGAAGAATAAGCATGTTTGGATTAAATGAAAACAAAATTTACTGAGAAAATAACATATGTCAATTTCCTGTGTTTTACCGATGATTTAAGCATAGATGATTTTATAATCCCCACCCAGATTATTCAATTATCCTATGCAACATATACTTAAATTTAGTTTCATGGAGATATATATATATATAAAAACTTGGTTCAAGGAAAAGACTGCCAAACCGATAGCAGTCATTCAAGCATGAAAAGTTCCAAGACAATCTTTTGTCTTTTAATTCTTCACGCTAAAGACTGAGTTCAAGTTGTAAAAGTGAACAAACTAGATCTCAGGAAAATATTAGCAATGGTGGCTCATCTAGTAGCATTTCTTCCTATAGCAAATCTCAGTATAGCATTGGTATCTGCTTATGTCAAGTATGTTTATTTTACACGAGTACAACCCATATATAGTTAGAATAAAGAATTTGGCAACTGATTGTTCTGTCAGGCTAAAAGAGATGATATTATAAGGCTGCTTTATGGAATGGTCTTTAGAAATTAAGCAATAAAGACCATGCTCAACAACATGGAATGAGGCATTATTATTAATTAAGAACAAACAGTACTCAACAAAATACATAATAAATATTTACTGAATCATCAAAAACTATTCTTATGCAGAATAAGAATGAACTTGCTAACCTTTAAGGCATTAGTGCATTAAGGACTATATCTCCAAGAAATAAATATAAATACCAGGAAATATTACTATAGGGCTACCTGTACAATTATACTTGATAATATTCTATAATATTTTACAAGTGCTAACAGCACTTTAGAACACATATTTCACATCAGTTTTCAACACTTCACCAAATGAATTAAACCGATCAGGCAAAATTCTCATCTTCACTGTCCCATCAGCTCCACAGGAGAATATATGATTTGCTGGTCCTGTCTCAATCTGCATGACACCAGTCCCAAGATTTCTGAAAATAGATTGTCTAGAATGTTCATTGAGGAAAGTATGGAGAAGACTGAAATTAGACAGACACCATACCTAAAATGCAAACAGAAAGAGAAAAAACAGATTGTGATTTTGAGTTGATATCCCTAAGTTTGATAAATATGCTTCAATTATGTAAACACTCAGATGCTTTAGTTATGGTTCTTTTTATGAGCTCAATTAAGAATGGAAATTAAAGATGAATATTTAAATAAGTAATATTTTTTAAAAGTTAAGGCTAAGAATAAAACAAATTAGTACACATTTTAAATAGGACATATACCTGTCCTTTCTCTTAAATATTGCCATCTTATGAGAGCTAGGAAGCATGCCATTTTTGTGGGAGTTCCACCCTGCTCCCCCAGCACTGGGATGACGCGTGCTTCATTAGATGCTTGACTTGGAGCCAGGTTGTTATTTTTAATGTATTTGTTTTTATAGTTTTAATAAGGATATTATGTTATTTTAACTTTTGATTGGAAGTTGTCCAAGTTTGTTATAAAGTGGACAGTTATATGAATATTTAAATGAAATAGTTCTCAAGAATGTTATAATGAATATATAAGAAACTACTCTTATACAAATTAACAAGATGGAATTTTGTAATGTATGACCTTAATATTTCCTTCTGCGGATCCTGTAACAAAATATTCTTCTGTAGGATCTACAGCAATTGCTTTAATAGGAGAATCATGACTTTGGAAAAACTGTCTCTGTTGCTTTTGACGAAGATCTATTAAGCAGGTGTAGCCTTTTCTTCCACCAGATATTAATAGCTGGTGTTTGGGGGCATATGCCAAAACAGTTGCTCCAGTATCATGACAGGTAAATGCTGAAATATAAAAAAAATAAAAGAAATTATAATGTAAATAATATTCTATTACTATTGAAGATATTTATTACATGATACTGTTAAATAAAGCATCAGTACTGAATTATTGGATGCATCAACTTGATTTTGAATTAGATCAATGGAAAACATTTGTTAGAAGTAGGAAAAACTCTTTTTGACCTTGACTATTTATGGATCTTTTGAAACCTTCTTATTCCATACATATAAAGCTATAAGTTTGTGAATCCATTTAAATTTCAATATTTCTGCATAATAATTACCTGAAATGTGATCTGGTCTCAATGCAAGTCTTAAAACTAGATAAAGGAAACCCAATTAAACAAATGAGTCAAAAAACATGATATTATTCGTTTATTTATTGAGGAAAATGATCCAAAGCTGCTTGTTTATGGCAAAAGTAAGCAAACCTTTTGGATTATCAGTTCAGTTGAAGGAGAAATTAGAGCCAGGTGGTCAATGGGATGATAGTCAAGGGTGAGTGTGGGTGGAACGAGACAACTTGCCACAGCCAATAGCCATGGCCAACGTGCTGCAGAACAACTTACAGCAGGACACAACAATTGAATTGAATTTAACAATGCAATTTAATTATTTAAGATAAATAAAAAAATATTTTAATTTTTGTCATTCACATTTCATTCAGTCCCTCCTATGGCATCCTTTCTTTAATAATTCTATTATACCATATTTTTTTTGATATTGGTATAACTCTTGTCCTGCAGCGAGTTATCCTGTGGCAAGTTGGTCATGGCGAGCTGTCCCACAGTGAGTTGTCTGTGGCAAGTTGGCCGTGGTGAATTGGCTGTGGCAAACTGGCTGTGGCGAGTTGGCTGCAGTGAACTGTCATAGACCTGAGTGTGGGAAGTCCTGCCTTATCTTAAGAACAGAATTCTAAATATTCTTCTTGTCTAATCTTCACAACACATATGAATAGAATATAATTCTTTATTGGCCAAGCGTGATTGGACACACAAGGAATTTTTCTTGGTGCATATGCTCTCAGTGTACATAAAAGATACATTCGTCAAGAATCATAAGGTACACTTAATAATAGTCATAGGGTACAATACAATCGAATCATACTAGGAAACAGTCAATATAAATCGTAAGGATACAAATGACAAAGTTACAGTCATACAGTCACAAGTGGGAGGGGATGAGTGATAAGATCGATACTAATAGTAATGCAGACTTTGTAAATAGTCGAACAGTGTTGAGGGGATTGTTTAGCAGAGTGATGGTGTTCGGGGAATAATAGTCCTTGTGTCTAATTTTTTTGGAGAATAAAAGTGAGGGACAGGCAAGATTCTGTTAATACTGGTATTATTAACATTACTACTTTAATAATGAAATGCATTAAAATATAGGTAGAACTAGTATTCTTGGCTTATTTGTTTCTCGATTCACCCAAGGCTAACAATTTTGAGAGCTTCTGAAAAAGAATTGTTTATACTCACCATGCTGGAATGGTTAAAAAAACTACAAAGACTTGGGAATGCGCTAGTCCACCATCAGGCAGATCTATTCAAATGAAGGCAATTCAGTACCACTGTTACCCTCCCCAAGAAAGGGTAATCAACCAAGATCACGCTATGAGCAAGGTGTGTAATTTTCTGGGAGACTTAAAAAAACACCAGGGTAATGCCCAAGGAATTAAAAACCTCTCTTGCACTGTTCGTGAGATTATCATCAGAAGAAGACTAAATAAAAATAGTGTGCATGATAGGTTGGCAGAGAGAAAGCCAGTATTCTCTAAAAATATGCTATTATCTGCAGTTTGTGAAAAAACATGGATAAGCCAGAAGACTATTTGAATAATTTTCGATGGACATATGAGACCAAAGAATAACTTTGGTTTGAATGGAGAAGAGATCAAATTATATGTCCTATTTATGAAGAAATTCTGAAAGTTCAAAAGAATTTGCAAACTTTTAAGCACCACTGTATATAATGGAAATAATTACCTTTCCTATACAAGATAGTTTGTATTACACAACAGTCATACATACAATAATTCTACACAACAGAAAAAGTAGGCCAAATGAATTTAGCATCTGTTTTTGTATTCAAAATTAATTCAAGTTTTTTTAAAATTATAATTCGCTGAGGATTCAGAGTTAAAACATTGGGCGGCAATTATATTATGGTAGGCTGAAATAAATTATGACTAACTGTTGTGTGTGAACTAAGTCAATCTATTCTACATCTACTAGAGATGATGCCAGACAAATCTTATTGCATTCTTTGACAAAGTGACAAAATTAGTGGAATAGAGAAATGCTGTGGATATAATTTACTTGGACTTCAGTAAGGCATTTAATAAAATAGACCATAACCTACTACTTTAAAGAAAGAAAAATGTGGGTTGGACAACATCATCACCAGAAGGGTTCATAACTGGCTGACCAACCACACTCAACATGTACTCCCCAATGGAACTGCATCTACATGGAGGGAAATATGCAGTGGAGTGTCCCAAGATTCTGTCTTAGGCCCAGTACTCAAGATTCTGTCTTAGGCCCAGTACTCTTCAACATTTTCATCAATGATTTAGATTAGGGGATAGATGGGGAAGTCATCAAACACTACAGAAGATAGGTTTAAGATACAGAAGGATCTTGACAAACTTGAACGTTGGCTCTTATCTAACAAAATGAAATGCAATGGTAAAAAAAGTAAGGCAAGAATGTCTAAATATGCAGGTATAATATATATATACTATACTATATTATTATATGTTATAATATAAAAATGGAACCTGGCAATTTTTATAGTAATTATGAGTGAGAACTTGGAATCCTTGTGGACAATCACTTAAATATGAGCCAGCAGTGTGCTGCAGCTGCCAAAAAAGCCAAGACCTGAGGTGCATTAACAGAGGGGTAGAATCAAGATCATGTGAAGTGTTAATACCACTTTATAATGTCTTGATAAGACCACGCTTAGAATATTACATCAAGTTTTGGTCATCACAATGTAAAAAGGATGTTAAGAGAAGAGCAACAAAGATGATTAGGGGACTGGAGGCTAAAACATGAATGGTTGGTGGAATTGGGTATCCCTATTTTAATGAAAAGAAGGACTAGGGGTAAGCAGTTTCAATATCTAAGGCAGTGTTGGTGAACCTTTTTGGCATCTTGTGCCGAAATTGGAGTGTGTGCGGAGGAGCACCAGAAACTGAAAGAGCAGTTCCCCAGCATGTGAGCACAGGTGCGATGGAAACCGGAAGAGCAGTTCTCCTCCATGCTGCAGCGAGTCCCCAGGATGGGTAGACTCCTTCTGACATCATTAAGCTGGGTCTGTACTTGTATATATAAAAAGCCAGCCCCTCAGAGAATCCCCAGCTTTGACTCAGCTTCTTTAAGTCACAAGCTGTGTCTCTGAAAGCATTAGCGTTTTATTCAGTGATGTTCTACAGAAGCTACCCTTGCTTCAATCAGGGCATCTGGATCTGGAGAGCGGGGCCCTGTTCTCCTGCAATGTTGGGATAAACATTTTCCCAAGTGCTGCTAGGCAAGCAGGGAAGCGTCTGAGACCTTCCCCATAGCTGCAGTTTGTCCAATCATAAAACTGATCGGCAAACTGAAAACAGCCACCCAGCTGATCGCGTGGGAGGCATCTCTTCCTTCTCTGGCTGATCTGATCGCTCGGGGCTTGCAATAGCTTAAGGACCGAAATTCACTTCTTGGAGCCATCAACGAGCAGTGGCCATCTTTGACTGCAGTCTCTTCAGACACGAGGTGAGCGGCCATTTTAAGTGGCCTGGCGGCCATTTTCAGGGCTCCAAAGACCCAATTCCACCCTCTGCCATCCTTAAGCACTTTTGAGAGCCATTATTTCAATGCTTAAGCCTTGCTTATTTAAAATGGACCAGGACAGTGCTCATGCAGAGTTTTCCGCCCAAGTGGAACAGACCCTCCAACCCACTAAAAGGAAAAGACGCAGGCAACGTACTTCTTACAGGGAAGTGGCTGCAAAAATCAGAGCTAAGTCTCTAGCCCCTAAGAAGACAACTAGGCTGAGTTGAAGGCAGAGAAACGCAGACATGCAGCTCTAGAGAGACAATTTAACAAGACTATTCAACAAATGAGAGGGCAACTGCAACAGGTTTCCCAGCCAGCCGAATACCAGGGTTTCCAGAGAAGCCCCCCAGGGGAGGGGAAGTTGTTCATGGAGCCTTTGGACTCCCCCTGTCTGGACCTCGGGGTTTCAGCAGTCTGGGCCATATTTCCAGCAAACTTCTGGGCCCTATGTCCCCTCTTCCCTCCAGAGTTCAGGCCTCCCAGATCAGGCCAGAAGCCACCTTCATGTCCACTGCAGCTGGCCTTCGGCCCTCCTTTGATAACAGGTCCAGGGAGATACAAGATGTTGTTTCCTTAGCCATTAGACAGGGATTGGCTGAAGGTTTTCAACAGATTCTTTGGCCTCTGGAAAGGGTTCAGGCCCTTCTCCCTTCTCAATCTATGGCTTCCTTACCCCTGCAACGAGATTTCCACAGACCTCAAGACCTCAGAGTCCATTCTTCACAGGCAGAATTGGAGAAGTATGAAGGGGAAGAGGGCGTCTCCCTATCTGAACACAGTTGCTCCTCTCATTCAGAGTGCGAGATCTGTGGTCGCAATCCTTCAGAGGAAGAAGTCTCTCATCCAAATCAGCCCTCCTCTGCATTAGTCTTTAAACCAGCTCTCTTTAAATCCCTACTTAGCAAGGCCCTGGTCATTGCCAAGCTGTCACCTGAGGAAGCAGCACCTGAACCACAAGGGGAACCCTCCGGGCAAGGAGACTTGCTCTTCTCCAAGCCGGTAGTACACACGGAGGTTTTGCCTTCTCTCCTTTTGTTTCTTAACATGGTCAAGGAGCAGTGCGCTTCCCCTTCAGCAGGTCCTTGTCCATCATCTTTGGACAAGCGGTTCTACAATGTTAGCAAATCCCTAGCCAACACCCTTGCAGTGCCCTCAGTAGACACTCTGGTTGTGGCATCATTCTCCTCTTCCGGCACTCCCACCGAGCCAGAGGATGTCCTTAAACCAGAGGACAAGCTTTCCAAACAGACACTCAAGTGCAACCACCAAGCAGCTGCGTAGGCTGTTTGGACTTCGACTGCTGCATCGTTTTTCACGAGGGCATCTCTACGATGGCTGCACCAACTGCAGGATCAATTGCCTGCCTCTGACCTCAGGTCTCATCAGGACCTTAACAAATTATAGCAGCGGCGGAATTCACTGCGGATGACACCCTCAATTCCACCAAATTTGCATCAAGAGCTATGGCATCTTCGGTGGTGGCAAGAAGGCTTCTGTAGCTCTGAAATTGGCAGAAGGAGTCACACCGCAAATGGACGCTGGCCTCTGCCCCCTGTGCAGGAGACAAGCTTTTTGGCGAGGCTCTAGAGCCATATCTCATTGAGATCAGAGATAAATGTAAAATTCTTTCCTCCTCAGGGAAAAAAGCTGACTATCGCCTAGCTCCTTATTGGCCACCTGTCTTTTGGGCGGAGTCCACCTCCCGCTTTCCTCGGCCACAGAGGGCGTATTCTCAGTGCCAACACCAACATCAAGAACCACCTGGCAGACAACCTTCTGCTGGTAAACGGCCCTTTCAGGAGGGAGGGGGTCGTGCCTTCCATCGCTCTAAGTAATACCTCGTTCTCTGTACCCATCGGAGGTCGCTTAGCCTTCTTTGCCTCAAAATGGGAGGAGTCAACGATGCCTGGGTGCTCAATACTGTTAGGTCAGGACTACAATTGGAATTTCTATCGTCACCCCCAGAATTTTTTTTTATTTGTCCTGTTTCACGGGATACTTCAAAGAGAGCCCTTATGAATTTGGCCATTCAACACCTACTCGACATAAGGGCTATTCAACCAGTTCCCACCTTACAACGGGGACATGGATTTTACTCTCGTCTTTTTGTTGTTCCCAAAGTCTCGGTGGGGTGGGGGGTGGGTAGCGAGCCATCCTTGACCTAAAATTGCTCAATCAATTTTTCCAATACAGGCGATTTAAAATGCAGACACTGCATTCTATCTTAGAAAGCGTTCGGGAGGGTGACCTCCTCTCTTCCATTGATCTCACAGAGGCTTACCTTCACATCCCAATCTGGCCTCATCATCGCCAGTTTCTCTGCTTCTGTTACCAGAATGCCCACTTCCAGTATCGAGCCCTTCCCTTCGGCCTCTCACTGGCTCCAAGGGTCTTCATAAAGGTTCTAGCAGCATTGGTGGCTTCTGTTCCAGTAAGGATCCAATGCTACTTGGACGACATGTTGATACTATCCTCCTCCATCCACTCGGCCCATCGGGACTTGCAAATTACCCTGTCTTGCCTCCAAAGCCACGGGTTTTCCATCAACACCAAGAAGACCATCTTTCACCCATGACCAAACTGCTACACTTGAGCAGGAATTTAGTCAACCAGGCAGAATGGTCCATTCCTCCATTCCTATTCAGGGATCTTTCCCTCAGATTCGAAACTCCGGAGGTAGATCTCTTCTCCACTTCTCAAAATGCCCAAGTCAACAGATTCTTCACCAGGTTTCCTTGCCAGGGAGTGGAGGGGACCAATGCTCTACATTGCAAATGGCCCGCGGATCTCCTCTACGCCTTTCCCCCTCTTTCCATTATTCCAGCAGTCATACCCAAACTGTTGGCGGAAAGAGCGGAACTAATTCTTCTGGCACCCTATTGGCCAAGGAGGACCTGGTTTGTGGACCTGGTCAACCTGTCTGTGGCTTCTTGGAGGATCCTGACCCATCTCATCTCCCTGCATCAAGGGGCCCTGATACATCCGGAGGCCCAGTGGCTGAAGCTGACCGTGTGGCGCTTCAGCAGCAGCAGCTAAGGGAGACTAATCTCCCAGACGGGGTTATCCTCACCATCCAGGCGTCTTGCAAACCTTCTACAATGCGCCTCTATGATATCACCTGGAGGGTTTTCTCCCAATGGTGCCTCAAGAAGGGGCTCTCTCCTTCCTCAGCCCAGTTGGTAGAGGTTCTTAGATTCCTTCAGAATGGTTAGAGAAAGGTTTAGCCCCCAATACCTTACATCACCAGGTAGCAGCTCTCTCCTCAGTTCTTTCATGGGGTTCACTTCCTTCCTTGTCCCATCACCCCTCGGTCAGGAGATTTTTGAAAGGGGCTTCCAGCCTACACCCTTTTGTGTTGCACAGGTATCCTTCATGGGACCTTCATTTGGTTCTTAATGCCCTTACAAAGCCCCCTTTTGAACCCCTTAGAACAGTGTCTCTCCAATTCCTAACTCTAAAGGTAATTTTCCTCGTTTCTATCACTTCAGCCAGAGGGGTGTCAGAACTGGCCGCCCTTTATCAGGCAGGATCTTTGCATCTTTCACAATGACAGGGTTGTTCTCCGTCTGGACCCCTTCTTTATCCCAAAGGTTAACACTTGGTTCCACCAGTCCCAAGACATTGTGTTACCTGACTTCTGTCCCGTTCCACAACATGACTTAGAGTGCAAGTGGCATACTCTAGATGTCAGAAGGGCTCTTAGAATTTACATCAAGCGCACTTCCCTTTTTATAAAGACAGAAGCCATGATTGTCTCCTTTTCACCCTCTCACTTGGGGAGCAAGGCTTCTTCTCCTATTAGCAGGTGGATCAGGACATGCATCGCACAAGCCTACAAAGAGGTGGCTCTTCCGGTACCCCGTGGTCTAATGGCACACTCTACCAGAAGTGCGGCCACTTCAGCCCCTTGGGCCATCCAGGCATCCTTGGAAGAGAGTTGCAGAGCGGCCACGTGGACATCCCCGTCTCCCTTCATCAGACACTACCGTCTGGATTCCTTTGCCTCGGCAATGGCGGCCTTCGGCAGACGGGTTCTTCAGCAAGTGGTTCCACTGTTGGAATGATTGGTGGGACGAGGACTCACCCATGGGCATGCAAGCTTTGGTATATCCCATCCTGGGCTCTCGTTGCAGCATGGAGGAAAATGGGTTTTGGTAAATTTACCTGTGAATGTCCTTTCTATCTATGCTGCGAGAGAGCCTAGCCCCTCCCTTGGTTCATCCGGAGATGGTAAGGCATGTTAATGGATTGTTTGCTTTCAGAGACACTTCTTCAGTCTGTCAAGTATCTTCCCAAAGCTGGGGATTCTCCCAGGGGCTGGCTTTTTATATATACAAGTACAGACCCAGGTTAATGACATCATAAGGAGTCTATCCATCCTGGGCTCTCTCGCAGCATAGATAGAAAGGGCGTTCACAGGTAAATTTACCAACGCCCACTCCCCAGTGCGCATGTGTGCACTAGGAAACTGTTTCTGGCATAAGCATGTGCACCGGCAATCTAATTTTCTGGTTTCTCGCGCACATGTGCGCCAGAGAGCTGCTCTTCCGGTTTTCGACACTCCTGCGTGTGCGAAGACCAGCTGTGCGCTCTGGAACCTAGAGGAGCAATGGGCAACAGCTGGTGTGCCAAGATAGCTCTGTGTGCCACTTCTGGCATCAGTGCCATAGGTTCGCCATCATGGATCCAAGGGGTTTCCACAAAGAAGAGGGACTCAACCTATTCTCCAAAGCACCTGAAGGCAGAACAAGAAGTAATGGAGAAAACTAATAAAGGAGAGAAGCAACTTAGAACTAAGGAGAAATTTAGTTACAGTTAGAACAATGAATCAGTGGAACAACCTGGTTTCAGAAATTGGGAATGCTCCAACACTGGAAGTTTTTAAGAAGAGATTGGACAATTATTTGAAGTGGTAGAGGGGTTCCTGCCTAAGCAGGGGTTGGATTAGAAGACTTCCAAGGTCCCTTCCAAATCAGAAAAAGTCCCAAAGCAAGATGTTTATTTCTATGAACTCTAGAATAACTTTTTGGCCTAGTTCGCAAAACATGTTAAAGGTATACTATGGTTAACATTCAGTATTTTTTCTAAACCAAAACACATCTGATGTGAGAAGTCATAAGCCATAAATTGTAGCTGTAAGTTAGTTATCTGTTTTTTAATTGTTCAACCAATTTATATAGCTTATATAAATTATGTAAGTTTATTCTTGGCTGAGATATATTGTCATGGCTTACCATGTTTCAAAACCTGGACCATTTTGAGAGAGCTGCTCCAAATTTAAAACTTATACATGACTGAAAAAGTTTTTCATGTGATTTAAATTCAAAACCACTGTTTTGAACTCCAAATGTTTCAATTTATTATTTAGCATTACCATATATGTACAGAAAAATGGACAGATCTTTTATCAAATAGAGTTATCTTGACTGCATGTACAAGTGCATAATGTTATATTAGTAAAATGGCTAATTCTAACCAAAATCTTATTTCTCAATTGGGAGCTGAAGTGTAATTTAAGATTTTAAGTCTTAAAACTTATAGTTTTATGTTTGTATATATGCTAGTTAAGCTTACCATGAACCAAGCTACAAGAAGGGCCAACCAAAGTATCCCACAGACAAATATTTCTAAAAGGAAACAAACACAGCAATAGTAATGTATCTAATGATATCACAAGAACAGCTGAATTAGTAATTAGAATTTAAAAAACATCAAATAAGAGCAACAATTCATTTGAAATTATCTGAAACTTTTTATTTTATTGGAAAGAAGAAGTAATATCAATATGATTTTTTAAACTATTTATTTAACAATTTCTATTCAAATATTTTTATGGAAATTACAGTTTAATAGGAACCCTGAGGGACAAAAATTATAAAAGGAAAAGATAATGATTGGATGGTACAGTGCTTTGAAATATAGGTAGTCCTTGACTTACGATCATAATTGAGCTCCAAATTTATGTTGTTAAGTGAGTTAACAAATGTTTCACTTAACATGAATTCTGGGCTCAATTGTGTTCGTAATTCAATGACCATCTATATATGTGCAGATTCTAAACAGTACGGCCATTTGTAAATGACAGATGAAAATTTTGTCAATGTGCAGATTTTCTAAATGCCATCCAAGATTTTTTAGTACAGCACAATGTGCAAATAATCTCTGGAATCATCATGGCTGTTTTTTATTATTTATTTGATTTTTATCATGCTTTTGTTACTTTATAAAAATGTGAACATAAATATGATCTTGATCTTGAAATTTTTTTAATACCTGTTGTCAGTAGATAACCCAGCAGTAGCTATCAAAGACGAAGAACTGATGAAAACAAAATCACTAGCCGTTTTATTATGGCATTGCCATGTCTGAAAATATCAAGGAACAATAAGTATAATAAAGCAACTAAAATATGGTTAATTTACAGCTTATTTACTTAGAAATATGATATATTAATTTCAGGTTAAGCTTGCAACAGTTTACTTAGCAGGATTTTTCCCCTGCTTATTATTATTATTATTTTCATAGAATAGCAGAACCTTCAATTCTGTTAGTAACTGAATGTTAATCTCCAGTTTATGGATTAGCTTAATACAGGTAGTCTTTGATTTACAACAGTTCACTTAGTGACCATTTGAACTTACAATGGCACTGAAAAAGTGACTTATGACCATTTTTCACACTTATGACCATTGCAGTATCCCCATGGTCACACAAGTTACATTCGGATGCTTGGCAACTGACTCGCATTTACAATGGTTGCAGTGTTCTGGAATCATATGATCACCTTTTGTGACCTTCTGACAAGCAAAGTCAATGGGGAAACCAGACTCACTTAACAATCATGTTACTAATTTAACTGCAGTAATTCACTTAACAAATGTGGAAAGAAAAAATGTAAAATGGGATAAACTTAAATGTTTCACTTAGCAACATAATTTTGGGTTCAATTGTGACTGTAACTCAAGGACTACCTGTAACTTCCTGGACAGCATAAAATACTGCAATCTTAAGTCACAGTTAGTTTACAGATTTCAAATGATTTTTCAAGCGTAGCAAATCTATGAGGAAAAATGTTTGAAGTATGAAAGTCTATTTTTGCTTGGAAATTCTATTCTTTCTTCCCCAAATAAAAAATATAATGAAGATTTTGGTATACATGCAATTTTCAACCAAGAATATTTGTCCACTGTGTAAAAAGAAACTATATACAAGTAAGATAGCTATGTAACAAATTAAAGTAAGGACTTAGTTGTTGTGGTTATAAAAATATAAAAAATAAAACTAAATTTTAAAAAAACTAGGAAATATTCTGACTTACCAGGTATGGTTTAGGTGTGCTTCCATTATGTGGGCAACCTTTACAGTTTGTTTGATACAAACTTATGTGTCCGTCACCATCAACGATCCCAAACTAAAGAAAGTAGATACATGTTTTACATTATATTAATACTTAATTACTTGATTCCTTCATAGTTAAACTTTTCCAGATGTGTGTGGATATGAATGTGTATTAAGTAATTAGCAATTCCTAGTATATCTGAAAGAACTGAATGGAATTCATATGAATAAAGCCTCTTCATTTATTCATTCAAAATATCTTTTTGTGTAACATAATTTTACAGAACAATAGGATCCAACTAGTTTAATACAAAATGTTTATCTATAAATAAGACATTGGACTCTATTGAAGTATGACCAAAAAAAAATTTCATAGATCTCACTGAGCTATAATTTCACAACTGGAAAAAATTCTTTGTGTAATTTTATTCATGAAATTGCATTTGCTAATGAACAGAGAAAAGAACTTAAAAAATGAAACAGGAGACATTTTTCTATGGGAGATATTTTTCCCTCATCTTATAATTTTCCAAAATATAAAAAAACTATGTCTTTTTAAATCCCATATAAAACAAAAATCAATAAGTAATTAGTAAAGGTAGAAACACTGATATGGTAATGTGTGGGTGCAATTTGAAAGATTAAAAACACTATCATATAGTGCAAAAGATAGCTTGCAATATGGAATAATTGGGGACCTTATGCAAATAATGCCATAGCTTTATAAGTAGACAATCTTTGTCGTTTAAAAAGAAGAAAAAGAAAACTAGATGTCTCTTATTCTATAATCTTTCTATAGCTATATAACAATCAACACTATGTTAACAGCAAGGCCATATAATCAAACCCTATTAATTAATAATAATTAAGCTTACTTTACTCTTTAAATTTAATTACATATAATATTGTATGCCTGTATTGAGAAGCACTTTTGTCTAGTTATTAAGGCACCAGACTAAAAATATATGAGTTCTAGTCCTGCCTTAGGTATGAAAGCCTTAGGCATAAATTAAAAGTCTAACTCTAGAATAGCTTAATACATTGGGTTAGGTTGTCTCAAAGTGGAAGTGGAACCATGTTTCTCAATTCATTATTTGAATGATCAAATAATGACTGAAAATGAAGGATCAATCACCATTATTTTTATAATCAGTGATTAAAAAAACTAAAGAAAGGACATTGGGATAGCAATAACATTTCAGTTCAATCTTCTTTGCTAGACTCACAAAGCTGTTGGAATTTTAGGGGATGTTATATACTGAGTAAAAACAGAGATACTAGCTATTGGATTACTGCTGGGCAACAGCTAACATATAATTTTTTATGTTTTCAAAAATAAAAAGAAATATAAATATTCATTTGTGATGTTTGTAATAGTTGGATTATTTTTAATTATTAAAAACCATATAAATTTTGGAAAGAAACAACAGCAAATTTATAAGCAATTTGTAAATTTATACACTTATTTAAAATCTGTACATATTGTTGTGAGCCTTAATTAAAGGAATATAGAACTATAAGTGACATTTAAATAGATTTTTTTTTGTCTTATAAGAGATAAAAGCATAGTACCTTATTGCCTTGATAATTAAATCTCATTCGTGTAATTCTGGAGTTGCCACCAGATCGAAAGAATGCAAGTTGTTGAGAATGACCCCATTCAAACATTCTCACACTGCCATCCTGGGCACCTGTCAAATCTGCAATAGAAAAATATATAACTTTGACATTAACAAAGGAAGAAGAAAAAAGAATCTACAACAAATTCAAAAAAGAACTGAACTGAACACAGATTAGCAATTATAATCATTTAGAAATACACTACTAAATTATTAAAATAAAAGTTCTTCAATTATTCTCTTGCTTGTTTTAGAAATAATAATTATTGGCTTTTTATTATTGAGGGCTTACTTTGATCTATATTACATTAGGGAACTTAGCATACTATATAAAAAGTTTTTAACTCATTCAAGTCCAGCCACATCAAATACTATTGCAAAAAATATAACTGCAAATTATTTATAATTCAAAGATATTTAGACTTTTTTAGATTTCATCTAGTATTTTTCTCTTATAAATTACAATGAAGTTACAAATTAGAAATAAAAAACTTACAATAAGGTAGTGTTGGGTGAGAAGCCATTCTTCTGACATTATTGAGATTCTTCTTGATCATCTATTAAATATCAAAGATTAAAAGATCCATTTAGAATTATTCAAAAATATGTTCTTTTAAAGTTATTAGTAGGGTAAAATGCAGACACTACTATGTTTGCTTCCCTTCATGATTTGGCGTTTGAGAAATGGATGGCAATCAACCAAAGTTCATATCAACAGAATCTAAATCCAAGTTCCTGAAGTTTTTGGTTCATAAAACTAAGGTTTGCTAAACACACTAGATTTCAATCTTACCTCTTTTCTTGCCAATTCCTTTCTGATTCCATTAAATTTATTGGAATATTCCTGTATATTGTAAGGTAAGTAAGACAAAGGTAGAAGCAGAGGCATGTAAGAAAGAGTTAAACAAACTTTTTACAAAAAATAAGCAGGAGGGAAAAAACTATGCTTTTTGCATTTAGTTATCCACAGAAGATTTAGGTTGGAATATTGGTTGGAAAAAAAGTTTTATGTAATGAATCCTAGATGACAAAGCACAAATTGTAGCAAACACTAAGATATAATATAGGTATAATTCATAATTTGATTTTTTAATCAGTCTGTACTGTAAGATTTTTTCTAAAATGATGTGTGAAAGATATAAATATAAATAAATAGCAGCCCATCTGAATAAAGTAAGGTTTATTTGATAAAAGTGACAGAAAGTGTTACATGTTTGTCAGCAATTTAATTATGTCTGTCTTTTTTTCTTTGATGTTACAGACCTATAACAGATTAAGATGACACTGAAGCTAAGTTTTAGTGAATGAGCTGTCATGCCTCAGATTTTAAGTGCTGAATAGTGAAAACAAGAAAAGGTTTTCAGGAATACCCATGTAAGAAAGTGATAGACCTAAATGAGAAATTCACAGAAGTTCCTGGGAAGAAAATGAACATGGTACAAAATAGAGCTCAGGAGGGAGAGAAGTTTGTTGGTAGAATCACTTAATTGAGGAAATATTGGGAATCTAAATGAAAAGCAAGAAAAGTGAAATAAGAAGTTGGTTGTTCTCTGGTACACTTTGGTCAGATACCTTCCATCTTTCTCCAAAATGAGTATAACATCTATTTATTATGCCAGGTTACAATGAGAATTACAGTTATAATAGTTGTGATGTACTTTGAACATTCTATACAGCAGTATGTAAATGCTGATTATATTGTCTTACTAAAAGAAATAAGAAAAACTATATTACATAAAACCTGTTAAGCAATGAAATATACAACAGTAGTTTTGAGTATAAACTGGGATGATTAAGCTGTGAAATGCAGAGCAAGCTAAAAGCATAATGATTGGCAGAGACTTAAATAAAATTGTGACTATGGACACATGTTACAACTTAATTGTTTCTATTAAAACTCATGCATTATATTTAACTTAGGATGAGGAAAACTTTGTTACTGGTGCATGACAAAAATGTAAATAATACAAATGTAAGAGAGCTTTATGTTCTAATTTAAAAAATATTCTATATTGCATTTCATAAATCAACATTATCTAAAAATGCCTCAGAAGCCTCAGAAATAATATCTCATTATAAAATACCAGCATAAGTCATCCAAACCAAAAGACAGTGACAGTGACACTGAAAAATAGAGTAAATATGCATTGAAAGAAAGCAAAGAAAGGGTCAATTCCAGAGGAGTTTCTTATAAATCAAGTATCAAGGAAAGCATGAGAATTTATTTGGTTTTGCTTCCTTTTTTCACTTATTACACATACTCAGTGTATGTTACCTGAGAAGAAAATACTAAAATAGATAGAAAAATCCTCTTCTAGGTTTCACTTACCTATGTAGGCTACAGTGCACAGAAAACACACAGAAGTTCTAAAGAGAAGTTGTAACATGTAACCTCACAACCAAAATTGTTCAAATAAACCATGTTAAAGATTTATTTATATTAATATTCAAAGTAATCTTAATAAATTATTTAGAAGTACATATTATAAATAAAATAAAAGCCATTGAAATATAAATGTTTAAGGTCATTATTATTTGATAACAAGTGACTCACCATAGCAGCACCTCTGCCAGTCTGAGTGCTGCCAAGCCATGGCATATTGATTGGTGTTCCGGGAGTGCTGTGTGTATAAGGAGTAGTTCCTTGAATGTTTCCCAAGTCATCACGAGCATGTATAACCAAGAAGTCATCAGGTCTATAAAACAAAATGTTTAAATGAATATTGGCCATGAATTACTACGTACAAATATCATATTTCATTCTAATTCAAAGTTAAAAAGATGCTTAGCCACCTATATCCATGAATTGTCACTTGATATCACGAGTTATTGGCAGTAATTTATTTGATTGGTGATAGGTGCATTTGCACTTAAGACTTTCTTATGAGATGTAATACCTAGCCGATCAGTGGATAGTTTAAGACAAAGCCAATTAGTGGTTGAAGAAAAGAGAAATGCTATCTATCAATCAAAGGAAGTGTTTTTAACAACACAGTAAGTCAAATCTAATTATTAGGAAGTTAGATTCAGTAAGACAAAGAGAAAGATGTATGAGCTGAAGATTACTAAAGAAAGGGACATGAGGCTTAATCAGTTTTACAAAAAAAAACAGAAGATAGATCATTATTTATAAGTCAGTATTTCAATAGGATATCATTAAATGTTCAATGTTAAGTCATTGTTAAAGATGACTACATGTCAATGTTAAGGTTATGGGCAAAAATACAATAAAAAGAAATACCCTTTAGCTTCTACTTCAATATCATCATCAACCCAAGTGTAGATCTGAGTTGCTAAAATTCCAGAAACATCCAGTTCTTGAATTTCGTGGCTTGAAGCTATTGCAATACAATTCCTGTTGGCCTAAAATGGAGAAATACATATTTATTTCACATTATCTGTCTAGGGTCCCCATATGTATATTCAGACTCTAGGCAATGAACAAGGCAAGAATAAAATCAAGAATTAGATAAGCTGAAAGGACAAAAGATTTATATAATCTGAAGACCAGAGAATCAACCAAGGTATATTCAAATCAGAATTATACAAAACTACAATAGGTACACAGTCAAATTGGACTAAAGGCACATCTGAACAACATTTTAAATAGCCTTGTGAAATGTTACAAAGGATGGAACCAAATACATTGGAAAAACACAGTCTTGTTTCTACTGCTGAAAAGGCCTGTCACCTAAATTAAAGAGGGAATGGGCTTGGCAGGAATGGCAAATTAAATTTCAGCAAGACAATTCCTGATATAGCTTATTCCTGTACCATGTAGGGCTTTTACATAATGACCAGAAATTTGAAGAGACACATAAGACTATGCAACAACTTTAAACTGACATTATTCTGCAATGGTGAGATTGTCTCATCAGCAAATCATGAAACACCTTCAGAGGGAATATGACTCATATCTAAAGTAACTACCGTGTTTCTCACATAATAAGGCCGGGCCTTATTTTTTTTGGAGCCCCGAAAAAACGGCTAGGCCGTCTTTTCGAGGGTGACTTAATTTCCCCCCCTTTCATCCTCATCTAGAGCGCCCTGCAGGCAGCCTCACCACCAAACACGGAAGTGGCAGCTCCAAACATGGCGGCGGGATGGGCAGAAGGGAAAGCAACAGCGGCAGGTGCCAAAGGTCTTGGGTCTGCAGCAAAGGTGTTTGGTGGGAGTAGGGAGCTCTCTGCGCTTCGCCATGATCCCCTGTTAGGAGCAGCTGGTGGCGAGGAATTGCTGCCCACGGGGCGCTAACGGCAAGTCCCCCCACCCTTCCCCCCATTTTGCATGTTTTAAACTAGGCCTAAATTTGGGGGGAGGGGCTTAATTTGATTTTATGCCTAGAAAACATGCTGGGTCTTCCTATTGGTGGAGGCCGTATTGTTGGAGAAACACGGTAGCAGGACTGATAGAATTAATGAAATGGTTCCTAAGATTTCCATGGCATCTCCATTTACTTATGATAGCCAGTTATAACATAAATGATCAGTTTTATAATCTTTTTAACATAAAATACTTCCCACTTAAAATTTCCCATTCGATTACATTAATTTGTTTGTCCTGCTGCTACTCTTTAATTTTGTAAATATATTCTTGTCATGTGTTAAATTTTTATATTTAGTTTCTGTTATAATATTTTGTATGTTTTTAACATTCTATTTGTACATCACACAGGGTCCCTCTGTGAGAGAGGTGGGTGGTTTTTAAATGTAAACAATAAAAATAAAAACTATACTTCAAGGAAGATGTAAGTGTCCTTGGTGCTGTAGAACCAAAAATCTTTATTACAAAGCAATAATTTAGTATAGATCCTCTACTTGGAAAGTACAATAGAAGTTCCTTTATATGGATGTAAGTTACAACATTTCAAAATATTTAAGGAATATTTTCCATCTATCTATACCTTATTGACAGCAAAGGCAGTGATAATGTCAGACTCTTTATGGATAATTCTTGCTTTACTTCCAGGAGATCCTGCATCATGCTCTATCTGGGTTAAAAAGAAAAGAGAAAGGGAAGCATACACAATACAACACAATAATAAGGTTTTCATATTTTAGATCATGGTAATGTAGATCATACATTAATCAGGAATATATCTAGCCTAATTAAACATAATTATAAATTCAAGATAGCCTAATAAAACATTTTGGTGGGATCCTATATCTATATAATCATTCATTCAGATTAAATTCAGTTCATTCACCTAAAAAACTAAAAAATGGTAGTGAAAATTCCTAAAAGATAAGCTGAGCCTAAGAAATGTCTCATTTATTAGTAAGCACTGATCACGTAATTGCTGGGAATTGGAAAATTATTTGATATTTATTACATGTCATTTAAAACAAATCAGCAACTTCAAACCAGAACATTGTTAAGTACAATATTTATTTATCTAATTTCTATAGCCACCCATCTCAACAATTGACTCTAGGTGGCATGTATCATAAAAATATAAAGCAATATAAAGCAGAATAAATGTACATGATCATGAATAAAACTATTGCCACACATGTTGATAAGCCAAGATATGGGACTCTAAACACATTCTAACCTTATAACTAGGTCTTCATGGCCTTACAGAATATTGTACAATTCTGTACAGGTATTTTTCAACTTACAAGAATCAAGCCCAAAATTTCCATTGCTAAACAAGCCAGTTATATGAATTGTACCCCATTTTACAACCTTTTTTTTGACATAGCTGTAAAGTGAATCACTGAATCACATGATTGTTAAGCAAATGTGTCTTTCTCCATTGACTTTGCTTGAAGGAAGCCAGCTGGGAAGGTTACAAATGGTGATCACATGACCCTGAGGCAGTGAAACTGTCAAAATACATGCTAGTTGCCAAGCGCATGAATTTTCATCATATGATGATGGGAATGTTGCAATGGTCATAAATGTGATAACTCATCAAAAGACACTTTATTATTACTTTTTATTATACATTTTCTTTTATTATACATCATGTTTCCATTTCTGCAACAACACCGTACTGTCTGTATCAAATCTCTTTTGAACACACATAATATTATACCATAAGTTGCTTATTTTAAGTACCATTGTAACTTTGAAAGGTCACTAAACGAATAGTACATCAAGGAATGCCTGTACACTACTAGAATGCTGCTTAGATTAAAAAGATTTTAATCAAATTTGTAGATTTTAGCAAATTTGGTTTGGTTAATATCTTACATATGAGGTACTAAAATATTTTCTAGAAAACCTTTTAGGATAATTAGCATACATCTCTTATTATTATGATACATACCTTATTGATTCCTGATTCATCTCCTGAAGTAGTTTTGGTAAGTTCAGCCTGGTCTTCTAATGACTAAATCCAAAAGGAAAAGAACAACAGAAAGAACTACATGAAAAATTAATATATTAATAATATGAAACAATATGCAAGATGACCATATATAGAACACATTTTTGAAATTACCTGAAGTTAGTATAATTTCCTCTACTTTAAAAAAATAGTTTAAAAACTTGCTTTACATGTAGATAATATATGTAGTAGCTTTTTCAGAGGTTATACAGATCTAATTCAGCTTGAATTTTACATGTATGATGGTTCAAAAATTTTAAAAGAAAAATAGAATTCTGTCCTCCTTTCCCCCAAACCAGAGACATAATTACATCTGTGCTGAATACTAAATTAAAGAGGCAAAAGCTCAGATATTACAGCTAAAGAGTCAAGAATTATTCATCATAGTTTGGGATGTATAGTAGTTATGAAAAAAGGGAAAAGGCACAGCTGACAAAGTTATTACAGGTGTGTTCTGAAGGTTAATTAGTTTACTTGGAATAAGCCTAGAAGATAATGCATGAGAATAGCAGCCAAAGTAGTCAACCATATATTATTTTGTATTATATTCTGGAGATAGCTAACTTGATGAATATTTCTTCTTCTTAATAGTCAGTAATACAATCCAATGATTCAATAAACCACAGAGGATTGCAAATAGTTATATGCAATATACCTTCACCTTTTCTATTACTATATTCCTAGAGGAAATATTTTGGAATTTATTTCTATAGAATAGTAGTAAAATTTTAAATTCAAAAAGAAATTAATTAAATTGTAATTAATTGATTTTAATTTCTGCATAAACATATAACACTAACCTCATTTAAACACTTTTTTTTGGCAAATATGTTTCTGATGAAGGTTTCTTGGACCATTTCTTGTTTAACGAGGTACTGCCAAAGTCTTTTTACGGATAATGCATAATGACTTTTGGATCTAAAAATGAGAATCATTTTTAACATGCGTAACATTTTTAACATGTGGTATAATTTCAAACGAATACAAGTAATTTTATATACATTAGTATGTATATTGACAAATGAATGCAGAAAACTGATTCCCTATTGCAAATATTTGTCAGGCATAGAAAGAAAATGGCACAAGTAAAACATAATATATTTGATATTATCCAGTACATCATTTTATTCTTGTCAAAAATAATTTCTATAGTTGCAATAAGTAGAACATAGCTAGAGTCTGCTGATCATACTGAATCATTTTACTGAGGAACTGCAAAAATATCTGCATATGTGATATGATTAATTTATAACTTGGAAGATGGGATGGTTGCAAGACTGAAGGAAGTTACTCAAATAATATATTTTATAAGCCAACATCTTTTCTGTTTAATTTGCATTAATAGCAATTATTGAACTGTTTTAGAAGTAAGTGGTCACAGAATACTCGGGAAGAAATAATTACAACTTTGTTTTCCCAGCAACTGCTTTTTACTGATACCTATTGATTAATGGCTGAAGTTGAAAGTATGACTCATGTTTCAAATTAGTATATGTAGAATATTAGTGTGATTAAGGAATGGGTAAGGACCACAAAACTGACATTTAATCCTTGAAATAGCAACAGCACTTAGACTTATGTACCACTTCACAGTGCTTTATAGCCCCTCTCTAACTAGTTTACAGAGTCAGCATATTGCCCTCAACAATCTGCATCCTCATTTTACCGACCTCAGAAAGATGGAAGGCTGAGTCAACCTTGAATGGGTGAGAATCGAACTACTTCTGCAACACTGCATTCTAGGCACTGTGCCACCACGGCTGAAAGCTCACTGAGATATTCTGAATTAATCTCTTTAGCTGTTAACTCATCCTCCTTTACATGGCTGCCACTGATTTATATTTCTTTCCTTGATATTTCTACATAAATGTTACCTAAAGTATGATCTAATCCATTTTGCTATACATAATTTAAAAAGATTCACAAGAATTAAAGAAGCTTCCAAGAATTAAAGACGCTTCTAGAGAACACAAGATATTATCCAACAAATATAAGCTTTTATAGAGAATAATTTCTATGTTGTCAAGAGAAAGGGAAATAAAAATGAATGAGACTAGCAAACATTTTTGAGTTTGCAAGAAACCAAGAAAATGCTAGAATAAATTCATGAAAGGAAAAGGGAAATAAAATGATATTAAAATTACGAGAGAAATCACAGTAATAATAGATAAGGTGAACATAAATGAAAAATAATAATTTATAAATTATTCTAATTTATATAAAGGACAATAAATTTCCCTGGAGAAAATGGTTAACAAAATAACATTTATCAAAGATTACAGAGAAAAAGAAAGCTTTTGAACAGTCCTGATAATAAGGGAAATTTTTGGAATTATAACAAAAATTAAAATCAGAAAGATGCCTGGATAGTTTACCCTATTATTACAAATTGTTTGAGGATGAACTTTTATAAGCCTTACAAAATATGATGAATTCTATTTTATTGGGGGGGATATCTAGACAACTGAAAAGAGGCCAGACACACACACACACACACACACATTTCATTGTTTGTTATTTACAATGTTATTTATATTTGACACAAAGATGAAATATTTAAAAGCAGAACTGAAAGAATTGCAAAGGTCTATCCAGGGATAAGAGACTGAAGCCCTGTCAGAAATAGCTCAAACTATACAGGCAAACCAGGGGGCATCATCAAAATGGAAGTTCTTGTTAGAAAATAACTTTAGCATGCTAAGATCAGAAACAAATAAACTAAGGAGGGAAACAAGTAACAGAAACAAATAAACTAGAGGGAAGAAAAAATGGTGAAAAACAAGAAGACAAACAAATACCCAATCAAGAAATATCACCTAGAAACAAATACAGTCAAGCAAGCATGGGAAATAAAGCAACCAATAGCCAAGATGATCAGCAGAGATTACATTCTAATTGCACACCCTATTGATATCTCATATATGTTTGTACGTTCTCCCTCCCTCCCTCTCTCTCTCTCTCAGAGAGAGAGAGAGAGAGAGAGAGAGAACAAACAATAGGGGATAGTATAGAACTTGATAAATCTTGGAAATAATTATGTCCTATATTTTATTTATAAATTCTGAGACAGCATATTGGTATTGCAAAGTATTTGCCCCAAAATATCTACTTTTTTTTCTTGTGGGAATCACCCAAGCATATTAACCTTCTTTTGGATGTTTTGTCATGGAAACTCAAGGGCATTTTCTGTCTCTCTTGACTGTACCCATTGTTGTTCTTCTTGCAAAACTTGTTTTCAGTCAAAGAACTCCTTCCTTATCATTTTCAAGGCCCTAGTTGTATATATCTCTTAGGTTTCTTTTAGTTACTTAATCCACACTTAACAATTTCTATTATTCGTGGCAATGAAAAGTTAAAAGATGTAGAAATGGCAGAGCTAAATTGTGAATTTGTGAATGAAAAATAAGCACTCCCAAGAGTTTCCATATACTTCACTAAATAATAGGTAAGAAATATAATGAAATTTAACCTGTTCCAGGTATAAACTTACTTGAAAGGAGTGTTTGTTGGTTCTAGCAAAGTTTTGTGGCGAAGTAGTGCAGGGCCTGAAGATGAGGCATCTTGTAAAATGTGAATAGAAATAAAGTTTTCCGGTGGACCTCCATGCATTTCAAGTCGTCTGAGAAGAACTTGTTCCCAACGCTGAAGAGTCTTTAGAACTGCGTGGCATAGTGGTGAACAAACTGGAAGTTCTAAGGACAGATATTTTTTATTCAGTACAGTATTTTCTTTAAAGTATATTATATTCTCTGAATAAAGTGGTGCGGTGGCCTAGAGGTGGAGCTCGCGCCTCACAATCAGGTGGCTGTGAGTTCAGTCCTAGGTAGAGGCAGATATTTCCCTCTCTGGGCACAATGAGAATATATCTGCTGAACAAAGCTCTGCATTGGCGATAGGAAGGGCAGCTGGCCATTAAATGCTAGCTCCATTCAATTGCTCCACCCCACAAGGGATTATGGGGTCGTTCAAATATGATGATATTACATTCTCTGAATGGTTATACTATATACTTTCCACAACTGTTGCTGTCGTCAGAATATTAATAACACTAAAAACCTTCCAGACATGTTTTCTCATTAAGGTGAACTTCAGAACTTCAGAAGTAGCTATGTATATCAAAATTGAAGTTAGCAAACATACCGCTGAATGAAAAACAATGTAAGAACTCTTCAGATTAAACAGAACCATTTTACTGAGTTAAAACAGGACCTAGTTTCTCATTAAGTATGCATAGGTTGTCTGCATCAGCTATTAATAGAATGTCCTGAAGAAAAATAAATTTTCCCTATTCCTAGCAGCTCTTGAACTAGAAACATTGCCATCTGCAGCAATATTGCTGAGAGAAAGAGAAATGTTTCTTTCTCACCTTATCTCACCCACCCTATCCCACACTGCATGAATTGCGAAATGGTTTGTGAATTAGCAGTTGAGTCTGAAAACAGTCTGCTGAAATTATAGAGAATAAACAGGTAGCCTAACTGAATTTAAATGTCTACAGTTAATATATTCTTACAATCTATTATCATATACATATATCAGATGTTCCGAATTTTACTGACAAAGTTCTATTTTGGCTGTCATCATTTTGAAAGATCCCCAGCTCAAAAACACATTACAAGCTTGATACTATATTTCAAATAAAAAAATGAGTAATTTCAAATGACAACAACTATAAAAAGACTTCCTGTTTACTTACTTCTAGTTTAAATTAATGCAGTCATATGCATACATAAAAACAATGATGTCCACCAATGATCAAAAATATATTAATTACCTGTAAGGTCATGTCCAGCCAATGGGTAGAAACTTTTCAAGTTACGGAGAACTAGCTGAACCATAGCCAAGCGCATTAATGACCAACTAAAGAACAAATAAAATGGTATTGTTTTTCCAGCAATTTCCATGTTGCTGAAGACTAAAAATATTGTGTTTTTAACTATTTAGCTAACCCTTTTTCTCTTAGTACTGTAAACATATCTATTACAAGGTACCACACATTATTGTAAATTTATTATAAGAGCAAATAAGGACACAAATAATTAATATTTTATTTTAAATTTAACCCTAATTATAATGCTTTTGCACTCTTCTTCCCCACATACACTTCAACCCTATAAAGTAGCTGTTAAAACTCTCTTTGGATAAAACATTGTAATTAGGCAAGGCCACTCTTGAGATAAGATTTGAAAGGTTAGCCATCACTGGAATAGGGGATGGAAGTCATGCCAATAGATTAATAATTTTAAGAAACCATGGCAATACAAATTTTGAAAAGCCTTAGCTTTGGTAAAGAATTATATAATTTCTTCTGCCTGTGCTAAACTAGAACCAGAGTTTGTACCTTAGTTTGCTTTAGAGAACACTGTGATGTGTTTAATTTGCAGGATTCAAGGAAAATATACAATGCATTGCTGAAATATCAAACGCTTTAGAGGATTTCTTCTGACTAGTCTGCTGTCCCAACCAAAAGACAGGGAAAACTCTAAATTAGCATCATACAATATATGTCCTAATGTAAGATGATGAATGAAAACATGCCTGAAAAATTGTTGAATTGTGTAAAGAAAAAACTGTATTCAGTAATAATTTATACCTAAATGAATTTGAGTTAGAGTGTTCCTGAAGTTTTGAATCTGATAAGAACGCTCCATCTTCATCTTCATCTTCATCACTGCTGTCCTGACTTTCTTCTGAATCATATTCAAATCTAGTTTGGGATGATGCAAGATATGGCTAAAAGAAGAAAACAAGTTTAAAAAAACACTACATGTATTTATTTAAATAATAAATAATATTTAGTATTTAAATTTAAATATGATTTAAATATGACATATATTGTTGAAGTGTTACTATTTTGCTTGTCAGGGTAAGAAAAATACTAGCCTTTCTCTTGCCTTTATATTGAATTGGCATTTTATGTATTTCTAAGGTGTTATTATTTTATTTATTTATTACATTTATAGGATTTATATATGTAAGAATGCAAGCTTAATCCTTATATTTCTCAGCAGAGATTAGGATATTATTTGAAAATATTATCATTTGTAGATGCACAAGTTTGAAGAAGGAGTTGATAGAGATAGATTTTTCATTTGACAAGGAACAGTAGGACAAGTTTTACTTCCAACAATGTAAAAAATACCTTTGCTATAAAGTAGTCCCAAATACTAAGTTCAGGAGGAATAAATTTCTCTTTGTAAATTGAAGTGTCTTGTTCTTTTCCAGGTAAAATACTAGGTGAATTTTCTTTTGATGATGACTTTGATGTCAGTCTAAACCGCTTATTTTGCTTCTCACCATCATCTATAGGAGAAGAGGCTATAAAAAAACCACATTCATCTTTATAGGACAATGAAATTTATCAAATAAATAAATGATATCTTCATTTTCAAATCAACTATAACCTACATGCTTAATTATAGCAAGAACTATAAATCAATGCCTGTTATGTTGCAATCAAACAATATCATGACTAGCTTTTATTCCTGCTTATAAATTTTTGGTTACATTTCCACGAAAATTTGAAATGCATTTTAAACAAATGATTCATAATCATTCTGTTTGCATACATTTGAGAACAGTAATATTCAATGCTTATATGTTAATATATGTTTAAGTTTATAAACTCTTAGAGATGCATTATAATAGAAAATATAAACATATCACGGGTATACACATTTTTTTTCCTTTTTCACTGTTCTCTATTAAGTCTATGTATAAACATTTTTACTGAAAATAAATGTTACTTCAAAATAATTGTCATTAAACTATTTAATATATAAAGGTGAAAATCTCACTTACCTTAATGCTAAAGATATATCAAATATTACATATTACAGTTCAAAGTGTTTTAGCCAGAACAAGCATGCACATGCATTGCTTACTATGGAACATTAGTTTTCCAACTAAATAAAATAAAGCTTACTCTTATATTGAAATGGAGGCACAAAATAATAAGCTGAACAAAATGTTACATGATACAGAGGCTGAAAAATATGCTTATTTCTAATTCCCATTCAATCTTCCCTACTGTAAAATAAATTTGCTATTTAAGTGGGCAATATTATTAACCCATTAATTATAAAATTATCAAGCCACTTTAAATGTTATAAAAAATGAAAATACCACTTTTTAAAAAGAAATACACTTTAAACATGGTTTACCATTTTTTTGAAGTTGAACTCTTGCGGTATAAAGGTGTATACAATTTATTTTTGTCAAAGACAAAAATGTTCTTTAAAATGTGCGGGATACAAATGTAACACAAGTTCTTAAAGCAAATGTTTCTTTCCAAGAATTTTGTAACTGCTTTCCATAATAATCATATGACCATCTGAAATGACACACTTGTTTAAGGACTTGCAGATAGGCACTATATTTAATTGATATGATCTTTGACTGTCATTTTGAGAGAGGAAGAATTACGGATGTGAGAAGTAAAGATGTTTTGTCTTTCTAAAAGAATGACATAACAGAGAATGAAAGAATTATGGCCTCAAGCCTACAGAAGTTGCTCAAGCCAATTCAGTCAAACACTAAAATAAAATAAAAATAAATTAAAAAGCATTCTGAAATGACACTGCCTTCGTATCAAAACCCATAAACTGTATCATGTTTTGCACAAGCAGCAACATTTTGAACATTCCACAGCTTGCAATGGAAAGTTGCAACACTCATCACAATTTGCATTCCATTAGCCATTTGAAATTCCAAACAGTTTGACCTAATTTTAATTGAATGATATCACAGAATTATTTTGGCAGCGCATGCCTTTTTAAAATATACTGGGAAATAATATAATTAAATTAAAATGTGGATTTTTTAAAAAGAAGTAAACTACAAATTTATTCTGTAAAATGTTTTTACTTGAAAGAATGGTAGATTGCCCCATTTATGCAATATTTTAAATGGATATATATTTGCAGTTAAAAATCCAGCATTCAAAATTATTGAAATATTTGCTTTCAATATAATATGTAACTCTGAATATACAGTATCCTTCTATAATCTGTATCATCATTTTACAAATGTCCTATTTATTTCACCAAATAGTAAGGTATGCAACTTACATAGAATTCATGCTAATTTATTTGCTAATAATGTATTTAAAAATTTTATTTACATAAAACAAATAAAAAGATTTTGCCATATTTTCATTCTTACTACAATTTAATTCTCAGGAAATTATTTTATAGTTTTTCAGAGAGTATGCTATCATTTAAAGGTGTTATTTTTACATTTAAACTATTCAATGGCCTATTTTTATATGCTTTTAAATTTCAAAGCTGACCTGAAACATTGAATTGTTTAATGCTTTTAGCACTTAAACATCAGGTTTTCTGGGCACAAAAGAGGTTGGTTTTTTAGCACTTCAATGAAGTAAACTGAAGAATTCATATAATATCTAAACTATTCAGAGAACAGCTATTGATCCCCAATGAATATACATTTTATAATAAATCATTAAAATTAACTATAATATTTATTCATCATATAGAGTGTCTGAATGAATTCTGAATATTGATTCTGTTTCTCCACTACTTCCCTACAGTAGCTACATAGAATCACCCAATAATTGTTTTAATGAAATAAGACACAGTAGATAACTTCGGCAACACTAAGAGGTGGTACGAAAATACTTATAGTAGGGAAATGGCCTCAATAAGGAGAAAAAAGTATTTCTGTAGGTTACACAACTAATTTTCTTTGTCCAGATTTTCTTTTATTCAGTTTATAACTGTTTCAACTGTTTATTCCATTTTCATTTCAATCATAGCTATTTTGATCTTTGACACATTCATTTTCAGATCCATGTTCTCCTTTGCACTGTATATTCTAACATGTATTGCAAATTATTTGGGTTTTTACATGCCTGAAATACAAACACATTCGTACTCCACCCAACACACTTCTGATATCACCACAAGCTTCTACATTCTGTATTTATTCATCCATAACTGCATTACACAACCAGGGAGACATAACATATCCTTGTTTTTTTCCTCCCACAATACAGAACCATTCGCTCAGCATTCCTATGATTATTCTGTATGCTTTACTACTTTCACATGTTGTTTTTATCAAGTTGAACAAGCAATCTTCAGGTCCATATTCTCACAAATCTTTACATTGTTCAAGGTTATTCATGTACTTTTTTGAATCTAATAACATCATATATTTTTTTAATTATTGCTGAAGGAGATAAACCTGGTCTATGCATCCCCTCCACAATATAAAGCTTCATTTCAATCCCCAAATAGTGCTCATGGTCACCATCTGTATTTTTAACGAAAATTCTGTCAAACACCTTCCAGGGACACTTGACAAACTAATTCTTCAAAAAAATGTGCATTCATTCTTGCTACCTTTCCTTTTATACAATGGACAACAATAGGCACACTCCATTAAAAAAAACTCTTTATATCTTTATTTTATTAACATTTCCCCAATTACCCTATTATAACTTTGATCCTGAGATCTTTAATTAGTATTATTCACAGCAATATAATAGTCAACTGTCACCAACCTATGAATTCCTATTTTCACATGCTTCCACAAATCAAGATAATGCCAATTTAAATTTTCTGAGATGTATCGTAGCTTTTTATTTTAAAAAATTTATTTTATTTCACATGTATTGATCAAATCCACTTAAGCATGTTTACGTCATTGTATACAACCAGAATGCTATCCACTAACAATCCTGATGATATTCCGAAATAATAATTGGGATTATGTTTCCTATCAAATAAAGTCTATAGTAATATCAGCTTTCTCCAAAACTGGAATTTTGGAGGAGATAGTACATTTTAACTTGGTGATTTCTTCTCTTCAGCACACTAAAAGTCAACACTTATGTCTTGACAACTTTAAAAAGTATATCTTTTTATTCCTACTGTACCGTACGTTACTTATATTTTAAATATATTATATTCATATTATTAAATATATAAATATTTCATAAACATAACAGCCAGCTATAAATAATTTAAGTAACCAATAGAAATATTTTTTCTTTCTATCCATCCATCCATCTATCCACACACACAGCAAACACACATAAACACAACATCAAGATGGCAAACATACATAATATTTCTGTCACCTATTTTCTACACAATCTTATGAGGTGGGGTTGGGCTAAGAGAGACTGACTGACTTAAAAATTATCCAGATGGCTTTCATGACTAAAGCAGGCCTAGAATTCGCAGTCCTTATATCTATGCATCTTAACCACTTTTGCAACCCTGAATAACATAAACTACCCTTAAAAGGAATAATTTTTATTTGCATTTTTAGAATGTTTAAATCATTAAACAAACCAGTGCATGAAACTACATATAGGTAGTGCCTGACTAGTAACCATTTGTTTAGTGATTTTTTGAAGTTACAATGGCACTGAAAAAAGTGACTTACAATAGTTTTCACACTTAAAACTTGCAGTATTCTCATGATCATGTGATTCAAATTTGGATGCTTAGCAACTAATTCTTATTTATAAAGGTTGCATGTCCCAGAATTATGGAACCACCTTTTGCAAAACAAGCAAAATCAATGTGGAAGCCAGATTCACTTAACTGTGTTATTAATTTGACAACTGCTGTGATTCATTTAACAATAGTGGCAGGAAAGGTTGTAAAATGGGGCAAAACTCATTTAACAATTGTGTCATTTAGCAACAGTAATTTTGGGCTCAATAGTAGTCATAGGTTGAGTACTATCAATATACATTTAAGTAGTATCAGTCTACTTTGAAAAGTTATATAATTTTCTATTTGTCTCTATCCAAACACAAACCCTGAAAAACATTCTACCAAAAATTCAAATCTGAGTTAAATGAATAAATCAATTATGCCTCCTCCTCTGAAACAGTGCATAGAAAATCTATTAACAGATTAATTTCTTTTATCTGAATTTCACTGAAATCAATTTTATGTACTTCATAAAGAAAGCTGACATCAGTAGTAAAAATATCCAATACAAGATCATAGAGATCTTTTTGAAATCTGAGTCCTGTGTCAAAGATGGCGTTTTCTGGCTGAATTGAGTTCTACCCATCATTTTAACAGATTAACAGATAATCATAGTTGGAAGGGATCTTGTAGGTCATCTAGTCCAACCCCGTGCCCAAGCGGGAGACCCTACATCATTTCTGACAAATGGCAGTCCAATCTCTTCTTGAAGGTCTCAAGTGATGATGCTCCCACAACGTCCAAGGGCAAGCTGTTCCATTGGTTGATTGTTCTCAATGTCATAAAATTTCTCCTTATTTTCAGATTAAATCTCTACTTGTTCAGTTTCCATCCAATAATTCCTTATCTAGCCTACAGGATTTTTAGAAAATAGCTTGATCCCCTCCTCTCTGTGGCAGTCCCTCAAATATTGGAAGACTGCTATCATGTCTCCACTGGTCCTTCTCTTCACTAGACTAGCTATGCCCAGTTCCTGTAACCATTCTTCATATGTTTTAGTCTCCAGTCCCCTATCATTCTGGTTGCTCTTCTCTGTATTTTTTCTAGTCTCAACATCTTTTTTATAATGTGGTGACCCAAACTGGATGCAGTATTCTAGATGTGGTCTTATTAAGGCTTTATGGAGTGGTATTAGTACCTCACTTGATCTTGATTGTATCCCTCTATTAATGCAATTTAGGATTGCATTAGTTTTTTTGGCTGCTGCTTCACACTGCTGGCTCATATTTAGCTGGTTGTCCACTAAGACTCCAAGATCCCTCTCACAGTTACTGCGATTGAGCCTGGTTTCATCCAGTCTGTATGTGTACTTTTGGGTTTTCTTGCCTAAGCGTAGGACTTTACTTTTCTCTACATTGAATTTCATTTTGTTAGATATGGCCCAGTGTTGTAGTCTGTCAAGATCCATCTCTCCAAAGATCTTTTGGTGTCAGACATGCTAGTTACATATCTAACTATAATCAAAATAAAATCAATTGTATACTCCTATCATTTGTAAACACCATTATACATTTTTATTATTTGCTAATCTACACTAATCTTCAATTAATAAATTACTTTTCATTAAAAAAAAATTTAGGCTAAACTAACAAAAATTCATAGCCACATGCATACAGTCATGTGACACAAACAAGCAGCTTGATGGACACAAATATATTGGAATAGTTCTGATAATTGCAAGTCATGGTCTTCCTTCATTATTAAAACTAATTTAGTATGAAAATAACCAACTATATGATTTGAAATAGTTGAAATTTTGGTTAATTTTTCTGACAATAAACCACAAATCAGAGATCATGACTTACAAAGAGACTGTTTTTGCTTGATTATTTTTTTTATGCAAGGTCACATCACATATCAATACTAGATTCAAATGCCTAGAACTGAAGCTAGCATCTTGCCTGCAAGTTTGATAGGACTATGAGTACTGATGGTTGTTAGAGATTTGGTAAACCCCACGCATTCCATAGAAAATACTACTACCTGGTGTGGGCTAGGCATAGGGAAGTGCCTACCTGCCAAAGAGAGAAAACATAAGACTACGCTTAGATAGAATATTGCTGTCATACATAATAGAAAACAAAATTTTCAACATTTTTAAAAATGTTCAACCAGTATGTTGTCAACATTAAAAGGTTACAAATGGAAAATGATTTAATTTTCCAAACAGAACCTTTTTCAAATTTATTTAGGACTCTTTATGTATACATTATACATTCATAAGGCAACAATTTTACTTATACTTAAAATTATGAATAGCTTATTTACTGCGGCACTAGCTTCCTTGAATATAGAGAACCGTATTCCCATAAGTAGGCATGCATACAAAGTGAACAGTTATATTATTTTTTGACAACAGGAATATTATACACAATATTAAACAATATTTTTATTGGAACCTGATTTTTCACTCTTACTTGTATGATGTTTTTCACCCACACAAAATTATAATACTGTCATTGTTAAACTAGCCAGCAAGAGGTATATCTTACTCCCAAATTGTTTACTCAGGATTTTTTCACATTTATTTTCTTGTTCAAAAGGAATAAATCAAAACTTGAATAAAGTGAAACCAAATTCTACTTTATTCTTTCCTTAAATTGGAAGGAAGAGATGGCTACACAAAATACAATTTTTATGTTTTGATATTTCTGCTCATGTATGTAATGATAATTAAGGTTTAGTATTATATAGGAATTCTGTCACTGTATGATAACATAAAAAAATGTGTCCCAGTGGATTTTATCTCGCTAGTCATTGCCAAACATAGGGGGTAGGGCTTATCTCCATTTCAAGGCCATTGAGCTAGCACTGTCCAAAGACATTTCCACAGTCGTGTGGCCAGAATGATCTCACAGAGCGCTGTTACTTTATCTACTGGCATTTGCATGCTTTTGAAATACTAGGCTAGCAGAAACTGGGCTGAGGATGGAGCTCACTCCATCACGTGGAGCTCAGATCTAGAACATGGGCTGCCTACTTTCCAGCCAGCAAGCCCAGCGTCTTAATTGCTGAGCCACCACACCACCCTGGTAACATACACAGTATAAAAATTAGAAAGAAACTGAGTTCAGTAAATATTTGCGTACAGAAAAAAATATTGTACTAACCCATCTTGGTTGTTTCTTGAATTGGTCCTTTCTTGGGAATCTTTGCACCACCACCAAAGACAGCAAACCACATTTTGTCATTAAGAGGATGGGCCACAATCCTGAATAATTCATTGCTGGAATGTGTTGCTAGACCATGAATAAAGAGACTAAGGTAGATTGCCGTAAGAATTTCACAGAGCAAAATTGTGATCCCAGACTGAGCTTCTTCCCCAGCTTGATTCAGTAATCGTATTAAATCCATTATCCCTGAATAGATAGGAAGTGCCATTTAGTTATAAATCATATACAAAGAAAGACAAGAGAAGCCATTTGCAATTATCTCCAGAAACACTAAAATACTATAAGGGGGCACTGATAATATTAGTGTAAATTTTTTACTGAAATAAACACATTTATAAAAATATTTTAGACCATTTCTCAGTCTTGGCAACTGCAGAAATCCGAACCAACCTCCAGAACTCCCAAACAGTATGACCATTATAGAAAATTCTGGAAGTCAAAATCCACAAATCTGGAACTTAGCAAGATTGATGAATCACTGGCTGGGTGGGAAAAAAAGGATTTCCTGGAGGTTACAAGATATGTTTCCAGGTTTCTTATTATTATAAACTCTACACATTTTTATACTCTTTCCCAAACAGAGAAGCATCCCAAGCTATGTTCTGAATTTCCTTTGTTATTGATTTTTTTATGCAGAGAACAGATTATTATTTGATTTAAATTTATATGCCTTTTGCAACAACTGGCATTTTTGTTTCTGATTTATCCTATTATGATTTAGCTATTTTCATTTATTAATTATTTTACTGTACTGCCTTATGCTTTATTTTTGAACTACAAAATTCTTTGTTTTCTTTTTTTAGTTATTTGCCTTATTACTAATTGACGTTTTTAGTGTATTTACAATGAAAAAGTCAACCTGATGTATTCATTGCAGCAATGTCAAAAGAAGTGGATGAAATAACTCATCTTTCATGGATTTGGATAATACAAAAATTTATAAGTACTGTTGCTTAACCAAGAAAATTATGAGGTTCATATTAAAAGCTTTCCATCAGAATTCATTTTTACCACGTTTCTGGTTTTGAAGAACACAGTATGGTCATGGGTTGCATTCATCATGAATATTAAACCAGAGGTTCCCAACCTGTGGCCTACTATTGGGCCATGGCCTCTTGGCCATCAGGCTCTATGAGTAGCTGGCCAGTGTGTGCATATGCGTACACACATCTCATGCTTGCGCTAGGGTTGCCACAAGTGTTGCACGAATGCTAGTGTCACTGTGAGTGCGGTCATGGCCCCATGCAGACGCATGCGGCCCCATTCATGCATGCATAAGTGCGTGTAAAGGTGCCTGCCCCTCCCTTTGTCTAGGTCACCAACCAGAAAGGTTGAGAACTCTGTACTAAAGTCAGAAGGATATTTTTCCCCATAATTAATTAATTAATCAAGGCAGAGTCTGGTTGACTTGGTGAATCTGTTAAACTAAATGGGAACAGGCCTGGTTCAGGTATATTAATCTGAAGGAAATTAAATGTAACTATAGAGTCCCAAATAGCCAAACAAGCCAGTTAAAAACAATCACATTATGCCTTATATTTATCTATGAATTATGCCTTAATTTTTAAAGACTATTAATCACTGTGAGGTTACCTAATACTGTATTTAATTTAAAGTGGAAGAAAAAACAACTAATAGCCAGAGGGTCATATCAGAAGAAGAAACAGAATAGAAACTATTTTAAACTTGATGTTGTAACAAAGAACAATATACTGTACTTCAAAGAAGCCAGACAGTTCAAAACTCCATTAAGAAAATTAAATCTTGATTACCTGGCCATTGAGCTGGTGCAGTATTTGGTGTTACTGTTTCATCTGAGCTTGCTGTTCTTACAGAATGCCGATGAGAGAGCAATAAGGTCTGATAAATCATCCCAGTGAATTGGTTTGTTTGCAATAAACTATTAAAAAATTGTAAAAAAAACAGTATTATGGTATTATTTGAATATAATGGTAATCATAATTTACTTAACTTAACTATTTCCTTCATTCTAATCAAGAGTGTTAATAACATTAGCTGCTGAAAAGCTACACAAAATTTGCATTGTGATATGTTATTATGTTATATTTAAAGTCAGCTTCAAACTAAAATTGATTACTGAATACATTAGTGCTATAATACTATTACTGAGATCAGGTAAACTTAACATTCAGAAACAGAAAGTACATGACTTAATTTATGGACTTCCTTGCTTCTTCCTAACCTTTATGGAGAAAGATAATTACATAGCGCTAGAAATAAAGACTATGGATGGTTCTATAGTACACACATTTATTTTGCATGAACCCTAAAATAGTGAAAAATAGTCTCATAGTTATATGGCATCTGTTTTTTTCCTGTTCAATTGTTCTTGGAAAAATCCCTGAAGTTTATATGGCAAGGTGGTTTGCTAATGTCTCCTTCCAGGGGTGAGAGAAAGTGACCCAAATTACCCGCCTAGCTTTGTGCCAAAGGCAGCATGAGAAATCATGGTCTCCTGGTTTTTAGCCTTATGACTTAACCACTGTATCAAATGTGTTCTCACATTGCAGCCTAAATGACCTTCAAAATATTAAATCTCATGAAATCTCTTGTGAAAGTGTCAAAATACTAGACATAAAAGAATCCAGAATTGTCTTAATATTTGTTCAGGTTATTCATAGTTATGAAGCAGAATCTTAACTCTTTCTATGAGTGATCATACTGAAAAAAGCAGATTTAAAGGAAATATTTAATAAGATGATCCATGCTTTGTGAAACAAGTCACAAAAAGAAAATTTTTTCCCCCTGCTCATACATTTGCTTGAAATGTATGAATTCTAAACCATATTGTGCTATGTCTGAAAGAGTATACCTAACCCTTTACTGGTAATATAATTCAAGAGAAATTAGGAATGTAATAAAGATCCATCTACATGTTTGCCAATTCTCAGATACCTAATATTTTCTAATACAAGTAATGTGATGTTAGCAGAGGTGATCAGGAAACAGCAAAGTATAATGAGGAAAAAAAATCAGTTTTGGATATCTGCAAGCCAGATCTACCTCATTAAAAAGCTATAGTTTGTTTTAATCAGTTGCTTGTTATTTCTGATCTAAGAATTTGTAGCCTTTCTTGCATTTCTAGTTTTATTAAGTTAGCCAATTTAACATTAGCCGAGTAGACTCTGATTAAGCTAACAATGTAAAATAATTGTATTTGTCAGTATTATAGTTAGTTAAATACAAATTAATGTCAAAAAGTATGGATTCCCAAACTATAGAAATATAATCTGGAGATGAAAACATAGGCAATAACAATGGTAATAATTTTTAATGAATGCCATACTGTAAATTAACCTTGATACTTTTTTTTGCAAATAGTTTTTTTTATTTTTATTTCTTTAAATACCTCTTTAGATGAACAGTGTGGTTCCAGGCTTTTTACATTTTAAATCAAACATGACCATAATCACAGATACAGCTTTCTTTTCTAATTTCACATCATTACCAATTTCCCTCTTTATATTTTCATACATTACTTTGTATCATTCTCTTTATTCTTAATCATTCTCTATATTCATTTACCATCTTAATTTAAAAATTGTTCACCATTTTATCTCCTTTATAGTATTGCTTTAGCCACAGTCATGTATATCTATGCATACCCTTCCCTCTAACTTCATCACATTTACACAAATTATATTTTCCATGTTGTTTTCATATAGCCAATTATATAAGCATATAATATAATCATTTTTGCGATATTCATATCCCTCATTACCTTATACAAATAAGTAACAAATTATATAATCCATTAAGAGTATTATCATTTACTATAAATAAATAAACAAACATATATATATATATATATATATATATATATGGCTCGGGGAATATCGTGTAGGTACTTCCCCACATACTTTCTTCCCCATATTACATATTAATTTATTATATCTTCCATACTTATATATCTTGATTAATAATCCTATCTTAAGATTTTATTTTCATATTTGTTCCAATTAGATTGTTGATCCTTATTGTTATTCTAACTGTTATTTTATAAATCTTTAATATTTCTATAATAAGTTATTAATTCCAAATTCCTCACAATCTATATATATATATTTAAACTACTAAAATACCCCTCCATGTGGAATCCCCATCGTTCCCATTATTAGCCATCATCTCTAACTCTCTTTGCTATATTAGTTCATATCTTCTTAGCTTGGTTTCCATTCTCAGTCATTTTTTGGCCCTTTCTCTTAACAGTTCCTATTTTCTCATAATTTTCTGCTGTTTTTTTTCCCCCGTTATCAAATTTTATCCCCCCACTCTCCTGTTCTTCTTTCTGTAGCTTCCTTTCCTTTTGTTTAACCTTCAAAGTAATCTCTCCTTTATTTATTATTTATTACATCAATCATTAACACCTCAGATTTCCTTTTTGTTTTTTTTATGCTATTCGTTGTTCTCTTTGCTGTCTTTTGCTGGTTTCTCTTTTATCTGACTCCTCCCCTTCTGTCTTCTTCTGTTGTTTTTGTCACCATTTCTGGATTTTCCTCTGTACTCTGTATTTTAGTAAATAAGTCCAAAATTCTGTCCCATTCTGTCATTCGCAGCTTGAAGTTCCAACCTTATTTCTTTACACATTTCACTCATCTTTATTTTGCTTGTTGTATCCAAATATTCAATTGTCTTATGTTTTTATTTAAACCAGCATCTTTCTTTAACTTAAAGTCAAAGTTCTCTTTATTCCCCAATTTTAATCAGTCTATTCCTTTTCAAAAAATTCCACACAAAAAATAACCAATAGTTCCAGGGATAATGTCTTCATATATTTTTTAGTTTTTTAGTTTTAATATTTCAACTTTCTGGGGTCATATTAGTATATAATTCCTTTTAGATTGTTAGTTTGAAGGGATCTGCAGGATTTTTCTTTTGTCAACAGATGGTGCTCTTAATCCAGTTTTCACTTTCCACACTTCCCCTCCCCCTTTCTTTATGCTTTTATAAACTTAACCATTTTTCCAAATTAGCTGTTATTTTCTTTTTTGAACAATTTCAGCATTTTAAATAATCCTTTTTCATGCTAAATCCCACCCAATCAACAGTTCTAATTTGTTCTTTTTTTTAATGAAAATTTTTTCTGTGAATTGTTTACTTTCCATTTTAATTTTTCTTTTCCCCCAAAAGTAGCTTCCTTGCGTCTCCCAGTTTTTCTCTCACTTCCCAGTCGCAGCTAGTACAGTTCTTAATGAGAATCCTTTTCTGTTTGTTTTATCAGGGTTACCTTAAAGTTTGATGTATATCACCCCATCCACACCATTCACTGCTTCTCTGCTCCAGCAGAGTTTTAGTTTTCCAGACTGCCTCCTGTTTTCATGGAGGGGTTTTTCCTTACCAGGGCAGGGAGATGCAATCTCCTTGACCTGCCAGACGGTCCCCCTTTCTTCACTACCCCTACAAGGTGGTTCTCGTCCCAATTGAGACCCTCCAATGAGAGAGCTCAGAGTGAAACTGCACACAATCACAGATTCTGCTCCAACACGATGGAAGTGCAACCAGAAGTCAATTAACCTTGGTACTGATGAATTATAGCTTTTCTTATATTGAGGTCCTAGTACTTTAGATTATCAGATTAACCCCGTTTTTGAAGAATAAAGGTAGTCCTCAACTTACGACCATAATTGAGCCCAAAATTTATGTTGCTAAATGCGACATTTAAATTAGTTTTATCCCACTTTACAACTTTTTTTGCCACAGTTGTTAAATGAGTCACTGAGATTGTTAACTTAGTCACCCAATTGTTAAGTGAATCTGGCTTCCCCATTGACTTTGCTTGTCAGAAGGTTGCAAAAGGTGATCACATGACCCTGAGACAAAATAATGGTGATAAATATGAACCAGTTGTCAAGCATCCTAATTTTGATCACATGAACATGGGGATGCTGCAATGGTTGTAAGTATGAAAAATGGTCATAAGCCACTTTTTTCAGTGCCATTGTAACTTTGAATGGTCACTAAATGAACTAGTGTAAATCAATTACTACCAACCTGCTTTCCACTGAGGATCTGTATACTGCATGAGTCAAAAAGAGGGCTGTGAAAATATTTACAGACCCCTCACATCCTGGACATAAATTGTTTCAACTCCTACCCTCAAAACAACGCTATAGAACACTGCACACCAGAACAACTAGACATAAGAACAGTTTTTCCCCGAACGCCATCACTCTGCTAAACAAATAATTCCCTCAACACTGTCCGACTATTTACTAAGTCCGCATTACTATTACTATTAATCTTCTCATCGTTCCTATCACCCATCTCCTCCCACTTATGACTGAATGACTGTAACTTTGTTGCTTGTATCCTTATAATTTATATTGATTGTTGCCTAGTATGATTTGATTGCTTGTTTGTACCCTATGGCCATCATTAAGTGTTGTACCTTATCATTTTTGAGAAATGTATCTTTAGATACACTGAGAGCATATGCACCAAAGACAAATTCCTCGTGGGTCCAATCACACTTGGCCAATAAAGAATTCTATTTTATTCTAAAGTTCTACCTGTACAAGCAAAGATATAATCTTGTTGGATTATACCAAATTTTGATTCTACCTCACAAAAGGGAAAAATAAAAATGTTGTTATCATTGTGCCAAAATACTTATTTTTGTAAAAAAAAAAAATTACCTGCAGTTATGACCCCCACAGAGAGACTGGTAAATGCAAGCTGATAAAGATGCTGCTAATGTGTGCATTACGTGTATCTGGAAGAAACACATATTTCAGACAAAATTATGCATATGATCTTGAATCCTTTGTTTTCATTTTACTTGTTCAAGCAAGGTATTACGTAACTATTTATTTAAACCTAAAATAAACAACTTTCAATATACATATAAATATTAATATGGCTGTATAATTACAGCAATTAATGTAATTACAATTTTTTAAAAAAGATCAGTAAAATATGTAAAAATTGTCAAATTATAGATACTTGCCTTATTATTCTGTACATCTGGGTGGGGTGGAGAGTCAAGAGAAAGAATAGCATGTAGTATATCATGTGTCAGGTTACTAAGATGCAATAATGGATTGGCCACCACTGTTTTGGCACTTGCAGTACAGGCAAAAAGAAGAGGTATTGTGCTCTGCTCAGATACACTATTACTATATGATTGCTCCGAAAATTCCTTTATAAATAGGATGAAAAATAAAGAGTATAATTTGACTTTCAAATTTCCTACAAAGATGAATTTTTTCTATACCTACATAGACATATTGACATAATGTTAATTGGAATAATTACTCTCCCTTTTCATGCAAAAATTCACTAAAGGTGGAAGAAAACAAGGAATCCAGATTTTTTTTGTGGAAAAAATGTTTATTTAGACTGCAATAAAATCTAGGAACAATAATATTGGCCCAGTGACTAATAGGAAGATAACTGTTTTCTAGGCTAAGGTTTCAATCTGTATCTGCTCTACTAAGCTTCTTTTTTTTCTTCCAAACTTCCAGTTCGATTTTCATTTTCAGGAAACTTAAAGTTCAAATACTGAAGCATAAACTTAGAAAACTTTTATTAAGAAAAAGTTATCTGGAATTTACTGGTTTTTCTCTGAAAACAAAATTATAAATATATAGCTCAAATCTAGCATTCTAGATGTAGGGCCAGAAATATTTGATCAAATTGGTATAAGCAAGTAAGCTAAAAATAGCTTGCTAGTAATTAATTTAAATTATTATGTATTATTTAAGTCCAAGCTCAATCAATCAAACCCCCCACCTCTATTTACCTGTTGGGATTCTTGCAGAAGCAAAATCAGTTCCATTCGTACAGATGCCAAGCCTCCACCATGAGACCCATGGAGGATGCAATAACTAAGAAACATTCGCAGAAGTGATTGGTATTTTATAAGCCAGTGTCTTCTTTGCATATTTTCCTTTAGTTGTATGTCTGACAGGTCTTCAGTTCTTTCATTCAAGGAATTTTCACCCATTACTGGAATAATTTCTTTTTGAGAATCATCTGCTTCAATATTATATTCACATGTCTTCTGAAGGGCTACCACCTCCCTTTCAAGCCAATTATACAGCTGATATCTTAATTTTCCACCATCTACTTCATAGCCAGTGGATAATGTTCGAAGTTCCTCTGTAAGAATCTTCAGGCATGCCCTAAATTTCAGCTGTACACAAATGATGTCTTCTGATGATGTTAAGACATCATTTTTACCTCCCGAACTGTAGGTTTCAGTGCAGCTAGAACTAACTTCATTTGTTTTTTCATCTGTTATCTTCTGCAAAGGTTTCATTACAAGGCAAGAATCTTCACATTCCTCATTTTTGTCACTGTCCCATTTTAATTCCAATGGGTCATCTTGGAAGACTGTAGCTGGCTGACTCCAATCAAACAAAGCATCAGAATCTGAATGTTTGTATGATGAAGCATCTGATAATGGTCCTAAACCATTTAGCACTGGTTCTGACTTGTCAGTCCTGAAAAACTGGTCACCTTTTGATTCTACTGGCATTGGAGAAGAGGGTGAACATTCTTTACTAGTGTTTCTTAAACTAAATGTTCTTCTTAAACACTTTGACTTTTTGACCACTTTAGGCATCTTCGATAATACTTCTAAAGCCAACATAGGACAGCCTGACTTCAAATGTGTATATGCTGCAGTAAAGAATAATTTTCTTTCCTCTAAATTGATTTCATCTGCAAGCCCATTTTCTCCTGTTACACATATCCTTGCGGAAGATAAATCAGAAGACCCAAAATGGCGTCTCAGCAAGAGAGGATGCGTCCTTAGATAATTATAAAAATTAAATACCGAAGGGCTACAGTTTGAGAAGCTTCCTTCATCTAGAAAGATATCACATGAAAAAATAATGAAGAATTTATTTTCTAAAATTTTCTAAAATAAATTCAAATATTTTCTCACTGTCAATACTGTGACACAACATTTATACCCCTAAGGAAACAAAGATACACTTTGTATTTTAGGAACACACAAAAAAGTCTAATCGTTGATCATCTTGTTCAGTATGTCTACTCTTCTTAATATGGCACCACACAAAACGTTTAAGCCTTTTCTCTAATGCATATATTTTATTCCATCACAGTATGATTCCATTCATTGTTGTAATAATTATAGAAAGCTTCAAGATAATGCTTTGGGATATCATTGTGACAAAGTAAAAATGAATCAACACCTACAGTGTTTTGTACGTCTAGTAGTATGCTTCATTTGGATAACACTTGATCATTTCAAAATCACTGGCCACAGTTCTTCACCATTCATGAGAACCACCCAGGAGTATATCTGGAATATTACATACTTACCAAAAGAGTTTGTTTAATATTTAATAACATGCACACATTCCAAAGGTAGATCTAAATTGTTTTAGCTTACCTTCATCATTCAAAATGGGATGGCTTAAAAGAGTATCAAGAGCATGACCATACTCTTCCAAAATCCAGTAAGCCATACTTCGGAGAAAAGGGTCAAAATGTGGTTTTGATGGACTTTCCATGGAATGAGGCTTACTTCCCAGAATTCTCTTCTGAAGAATTGATTTGTAAGTACCAGATGTTTCAAATTCTGATTCATATAGTCGTGCAATTACAAGAGCTAACTGAATGTCATTTAATTTCTCTAGGCAGACCTAATTAAAATAAACAAAAGTGATTTTTTTTTAAAAAAAGATTCAAACAGAAATAAGAAACACACTGGCCTATTTTACCCCAGGATTATGTATGCAGCCATCCAGATACCTTTGGCATATTTACACAGATAATATGGAGGCTTAACCTTCTTTTGCTGTTGTTCCTTTACAACTGGTTTTTGGGGCATGCAGCTTACAAACTAAAAATAACATTGCATCTTCAAGGCCAATAGCCTTTGATAAATCTTTCCTTTATGAATTTCTCCTCCTCCCTTTTCCCCAGACTAGAGTCCCATATATTCTTGCCTTTTCTCATAGGAAAATGTTCAAGAAAATGTTCATTTTGGTTACCTTCTTATGCATGTTTTCCAGCTTTTTCATATATATAGCAGTTAACAGAATATGTGGGATTTACTTAAGGATGGCTCATGTTTTGACTTGATGGCAGCATGATTATACTAAGTACAATAGCACTTAGTCTTAAAGTATACACTGCACTCTCTGAGTCAATGTCAGCATACTGGCCCCAACAACCTGGATCCTCCTGTTACCAACTTTGGAGGAATGGAAGACCAAGTTAACCTCGATCAAACTTCAGGCTATGGGCAGAATTAGCCTGCAATATTGCATTTTAATCAATGAGCCACAAGGCTTCCTTAGACTGAAAATTTCTCCATTTCTATATTTTGTATTAAAACATATTTTAGTGTTCTGTACTCCTCCTTTTGTTTTGTATAGACATTGGACATAGCTATTCCTATTTTAAATCAGTTTAAGTCTACCACCATATTTATATTCATATCTGACCAACCCATATTTCAAGGATACTATTAATCATATAGCTGGACTTCAATGTAACATTCAAATCTGCTTGTACTATTAAAACACTGGTTGTGTAAATACATTATTAGATGCACTGTGATCTCTTTCAATAATCTGAAGAAAACATATTAGTTACCTCAATGGCATCTTTTAAATGACCAGCCAATAAAAAAAATGCTGTAGAATGTTCAAAACGTTGCTTGCCTAGCAATGAAAAAGCATTCTTCAGTGCTGCTTTACGCCATCTGTCCTCACTAAAATTGTTTCCAAAGAACTGTGTCATTTTAGTATCTTTTAGGGACCTGCCAATGTAATCATTTATTAAGTCACAATGTACAGAAAAAAACTGAATAATTTATGTTTATCAAACAAAGAAACATGCTCTCCGATTCTAAATGGCATATTTTAAAAATCAAGTTGCTGCTAAAATTCTTTGCGTGCAATTAGAAATGGCCAATATTTAACTTGGGTACTATGCTCATGATAGAATAAAAGCGCTCAGATGAAATGCCATGGAAAAAATAAGCCATCAGAAGATATTGAAATAAAGCACATAAAATAATATTTCTCAAACTTCCAGTAGTTATAAACTGCTTGATAAAAGATTCTGAAGCTGGGAGGATTGCCTAGTTAAACAAAGCTCCTATATTCTGGTCTTTAAGAGCATGGGAATTCACATTCAATTATGTCTTTCCATTCCTTTCATTTATATTGTTTTAAACCAAACTTTGAATCCAAAATTTTAATCAAAATTTAAGTATTTATTTATTTATCACTTGAATTGTTTCATGCACCCCATATTATGTAAAAAACAACAACTGAGTTCCTCAACAGAAATCACTTTCATATCACTGAAGGTTATTCTGTTTCTGTTTTGTATCTGGTGATTGATATCTGGATAGATAACAAATAGCCTGTGATGCTCTATATCCTAGTTGTTTCTTTTTATTATTCTATATTTCTATTAGATGCCCACAAAAGTACAGCCTCAGGTAAAAATGTGGAAGTTATGTTATATTATATTATCCCTGAAAGGGGCCCAGTTGTGTTGATACAAATTATGCTGTAGATCTAAAAGCTAACTTGAGTTCAAGAATTGAGAAATTTAGAAGCTTGGAAAATTTTGAAGTTACTTCAATAGTACATAAAGGAGCAATCTCTCTATCTCTCGCTCTATATTGCTCCTTAATGTCCTTTAGCAGTAGAATGTCTACTCTTCTACCAAGTAGTAGGAATGCAAGAAAACTAGTTGCAATATATATTGAATTAAATTTTGCTATACAATTGTACCTATATAGTCCCCAAATCACAGTCTTCTTTTTCATTGCAAGATAGAAAATGGCTGCATCCAGAGGGTCATTGTTTCTTTGAAAGGCTGCTTTAGCGACCTGAAAGGATAATAGTAAATTTTATGGTTACAAATGTAGTATTTTGTCATAGTTATTTTGTTCAGAAAAATCGATAAAAATTAATTTTATGTTGAAAGTGATTTACTTTCTAGCAAACCTCTTGCATTTCAAGCTTAGTGTAGAATTAGAAAACACTTTCTCTCCTTTGATCAATTGCCTGCATGAAATCTCATGTGAATGCAGTTTCTGATAGCTCATAACTATCCTGCTAATGCTTAAATAAAAAGCTGATATAAATATGAGAAAAGCAAAAGCTTGCTTTGAGTACATTCATACAATTTTGAAACCTATCATCAGATCACAGAGTGATGATAATTTTCATCTTGTATTTAAATTCTGAGGATCCCATATCTGGTCACTGGGAGCACTAATTGACCTGAAGGAATGGATCTATGAATAGTTGAACAACTTGCTAAAATAAATCCAATTAACATTTCTGTTAATTAAAGAAAAGTAAACATTGCAGACACAATATCCATGTAAGTTAAAACAAATAATGAACTGGCTAGTTCATAAGATGTATGTCTTTCCTTAAACTATCTAGGTGAGATATTCTAGTAAGAAATCTCAACCGGTCGCACTACTTTGTCTATCCTGGTTGGGTTTGATTAAAAATCTTTGTTTTATTTGTAAAGGAAAATATTTGGGGTTGAAGATTGGAAGTTTGGAAATAGTATATTTTTTTCTGTACTGATGTGAAGCAAATGATATGGCTGTGTCCATGTAGTTATCAGGAATCAAGCGAACAAAAAGAAGACTTTACAAAATTATTCATTGGGTGAATCAGTAGTTAAATAAATAAAGAAGAGCCTTTCACTTTAAAAGTAAAAATAGTAAGTCTTCTTTAGTTAATCTGGCTATTCAAAGCCATTTCTTAAAAGTATATCTATTTAAAATAATTAAAATTTGTGTTTCTAGTTACTCTATTCCTTTATAAAAATAAAGCCAGATACAGTTATGTCAAGTGCAAACTTCAGTTTTATTTAAGGCAAAGTATTTGTCACATTGTTTCAATATTAATCAGCAGATGTAAAACAGGAAAACAAAAATAGCTTATTGGTTACTGTTATCTGAAACAATACTGTATGATTATATGACAATTATAATATGTGACACAGAAGATGAACTATATACAAGCCAACAGTAACAAAGGTAGAAAAAATACTCATGGAAGCTTTTTCATTACAGCATTCCTTTCCTATCTTCTTTCTAATCCATATTAAAAAAAACCATTCTGCTTTAAAAAAAAATCTGAAAAATATATATCATGCCTTCTATTATCTAAATGAAACTCATAGCAAGATACAAGCTAGTTTGTTATAAACTGCTTTTACCTTCTCAATGCATCTGCGCAAATTATGAGTATTTCGAACCCACCATCCTATTCCCATAGCTCTAAGCTCTGACCATGTTGGATCACCTTTCTGTACTGCAGGAAGCATGTTTAGAAGTTCTTCTTCTGCAATAGAGTGAAATGCCCAAGCAAAATGACTCGAAGACAAACCTGAAATAATCACAAATAATTATTTTATAATTATTTAATTTACTTTATAATTGATAACTATATTACCTTAAAAATATTTAGTGATTCTTTTTCTGATCCTTTTTTTAAAAAGTTAGTAACGTGAAGTAACATACAAAAAATCATGTCATAATTTGTGAGTAATTAAGGACTTGCAAATAGCTACACTTAAAAAGTTGTAAAACACGAAGTATTTAAGTCTGTATACCACAAATAAAACAAAAACTTAGATCCCCGTACTTAAATGTTTAAAGATACATCTATACTCACAGAGACTTGATACTGTCCTAGAGCCAAAAGAGTTAACAGTTTGAAAAACCTGTATTATTCAATTGTTCAATGCATCTCTTCAGCACTATACCAAAGTTCCTCTGTCTCTGCAGCTCATGTTTCTTCAGAAACTAAAATATTGTTCTGTTTTGCATTAAGTGTCTTGCAAAGAGTGAACAACGTATTTACCTTGATGTAATAGCTGAACTCTGTGAGCAGGTGGCAGAGAAGTTGTCATAAAAGTGTGAAGACGAACTGCCAAAAGAAACTTCAAACCACATTCATCAAGTGTTTCTCCTCCTATGAATGAAGATTTAGTCTACAAAATGAAACTCCTTAAACAAAACTGTATGATTATTTGCCATATTTTCATGCATGTGTGTGTGCGTATGTATGTGTGTATCTTGTTAGGCATAGTTTCAAAATATAGGGAACAGGTAACAAATTTATGTACTAAAATGGATTTTAAAGCAATAAATAATTAATATATTATTAAGTAGCATAATTATAGCAGACAAATAGAGCCCTACAATATTTAATTTTTTATTTGAGATTAATATTACTAAATTCAGAAGAAAATGTCGCTGTGAAGCTAAAGGTTTCCCCATAACCATTGCAGTATATGGAAATTTGCCAGTCCATATAGAAAAAGAGGTAGTTCTTCTAACTTTCGAACTTCAAACCCTTTAAGCAAAATATTTCTATTTGTACACTATTTCTATTTGTATACTTTCCTAAGAAGTAGTAAACTTAATGCTAAAAAATAACTTTAAAAAATAACACAGATAGAAAAAGAATTTAGATAATCATATTAGTGTATTTTAAATAAAGTATAGTATTAATTTTCCTTGGGTACTTCCCAACTCAAACTTCTGTTTTATTTATTTATGGAATTTCTATACCCACCCATCTCAACCAGTGACTTTGGGTGGCTTACAGTTCTAATTACCAAATTTAGTCTATCGCATATCATTATATTTCATATAGGCCAGTAGCCTTAATAATTAATTGATGTATTCTGTATGCCATCTAATAATATTTAGAAATGTTTGCAATTGATTGATTGATTAATTAAGTAAGTAAGCAAGCATAGAGATGGTACTGTTAAAAAGAAAATCTGGATTAGTCATTATTAAGCTTACCTTTGCTTCTGTCTCTGCTTTCTCCTATATCAGTACTGGTAATGGCAATTGTATCAGCTAATGCCATCAATAGCATCTGTTCCATCCTGGTAAGTCCTGGTAAGCTAGAATGAAGCAAGTGACGAGAAAGAACTTGGGCATGCTCTTGTCCAAAGTAAGTCGGATTATACTGAGAAAGATCAATAACTTTTGGCTTTTTGTCATCTTCATCTACTTCAATTGTAGTCAGTTCATCTGTACATAGGCTGGAATTTTGAAATAGATCCTCATAATTTTCGTCAGTCACATGTTTGTTAAGCTTCTTTGGAGTATTTGACTTTTCAGTACAAGCATAGGAACATTCTTCATCAGCAGCAAGCAATGCATACAAAGGAAGAGGTGGAACAGAATCTATTTCTGTATAGTCTGTTATTACACATCTGTTAAATGTCATAGGGTCTCTTGTACTACTCCCACTAGCACAGATTGAGAGAGAGCGGTACCTTTTCTCATGGAAGGGGTCACTTATGGCAATAACTTCTCCAGCAATGCATTTGACTAGATGAGATAAAATGGCCTTTGCTCTACGTACTTTCCCTAGATCCATGAGTTCCAAAAGTTGCACAGGATGATACTGAGGTAAAGTAGGACATAATGAATGAGCTGCTTCAAAAAGACCAGAATCTTCCATCTCCAGTGACAGATCAAATACAGTTCGTTTCCCACCAAGTTTTTGAGCAAAGCTAGCCATGGATCGGGTTAATGTTCGCTTTAGTGGGGGAACACTAGACAACTGGATTTGTTTAACTAAACTTGTTATAGATGGTGTACTACTACTGTAAGAGTCTGTGGTAATGGGATCTTGTTTTGAAAATGGCTGCCATTGAGAATAAACATGCATTTCACAATCCATCCCAATCACAAGGATGCCATCACGAACCCAAGACAAAGAAACTGGTAAAGGAGGTGACCCTTCTACTGATGAGACCAAATCCACACATCGTAACAGTATAAATCTAGATGTACAAGAGGTTTTAGCATTTTCCCATACTGGCAGTACAAGCATTTCCTTAGTACTTGGTTCCTGTATTTTCCCAGCCAACTGACCAAACATATAAAGTTTTGAACCAATGCCTACTGTTAATATATGAGAGCCATCTTCCCTAGACATCCAATCTAAATGAACCAAATGCTTTGTTCTGAATGTTAAGTTCTTATTTCCTACTGCCATTGAACTACTATTGACAGTCAGAGAATCCAATGATAGGTTTAGTTCATCTAAATGAAGGGTTTGTTCCAAGTTCCAACAAGAGCCTCCTGTAGATTCACATTCAAAAATGCCGACATTCACAAAAAAATCTTGAGTATTACTGTTTTGGGGTGGTGTTCGCCTGTATGCCACAGCTAAACGATTTGTATGAGCACAGCTAATTTCAAGAGGTAAACCAGACACTTCAAGGGCACTGCTACTAAGATGTCCATCTTCAATAAGCAATGGCCATTCTTCCCATACATACGTACCACTGTTCTTAGTATTCTCTGGTTTGGATAATAGATCTGTTTCTTGTGACATTCTACACCTCCAAAACCTAACTTTCCCATCTGAACAAAGCGTTGCAAGAAGATAAGGAGCTTGGCGGACTGGATAAATTGAAGAAGAACTTAAATGACCTAAGATTAAAAATAAAAAATCCTTAGAATACTGACCAGAAAAAAAATTAGTTGAACATGAAATTTTAAAGCATTTTTTCCAGAACTTAAGAGAAAAATTTAGTGCTCTACAGTTTATAAATCCAAGTTTACTTTTGTAACATGGTGTAACTTTTATGGCAGTTTAATAGTTGTTTTTATATATTAATTTTATTTAAATATTAGGCTTTCAAATTACCATTAAGATTTAATGAATACTCTGAAGAAAAGTTAGATGAAAGTTAATTAATACACAATTTCCTCCTCCCCTATTTGTTTTTTAATTTACAAACCTGCTGATGGTTTAATGCTTATTATCTCCACTCCTTCTGGTAAATTTAGTTCACAACTATAGACAATTTCTGAAGAAAGAACTAATTGGCTGGTACTTTGAAGATTATCTCTGCAAATTTGGTATTTCTTTGCAATGGAACTGTGAAGCTTTTCTTGGTCCGGAGAAGAATGCAGTTGTTCTTGAGATGCTGTTTCAGATGCCTTAGGAGGTATCTTTTCATCTACAAAAAATTGGGATATTTTACTTAACGTTTATTTAAAATACAATCTGCTCTATGAAATTTCAAGATATTCTGAAATTACAATGACTAAATTCTGTTTATATCAACATATTTTTCTATAAGTCACTAGAAATCCATAACATCAGAGGCTGGGTCAGTTGCTAAAGACAATATTTCATATTCATATGCCCTGCCTTTCAAAATATTTTAAAGGACATATTGATCTTTACCTGGACCAGGACACTTCTTTTAGCATGAATTATTTTGTATCCAGCACAATATTGCATAGTGTAGGCATTATGGACTGGATCTAGTGTCTCTGTAGAACTCTTTCAACAGCTCTTTAATTACAACTATAAACATTAAATATGTTGACCGTGAACCTAGCCCATTAAGCTTAGCTTAGCATTTAGTTCATGTCTTTCGTTAATATTCAAATTCAAGCAGAATAATTCTGACTGCAATGACAAAGTGAAATTACTGTATCATTACTATCTCTTTCTATATGGAAGTTTCATTGGCACTTTTGGATTCTATGTGCTTGTAATATCAAGCATAATGTATAAATTCTTATATATATATATATATATATATATATTGTCAAATATTTAAACATACCCACTGCGACTGGTAGGGATTTCAAGTGTAATTTCCACATGTGTAACAGTGAGCAGTTTTGAGTATATTCAATTACAATTAAATAGAATTTTTCAGAAAATCCATTTTTCTGATATCCTGAAAAAAGAAAAAAAAAGTTTTCAGTACAATGCAGCAATTAAAATGTCCAGCTATTTATTACTGTTCCTTTGTATGTTTTAGCTAGGTCTTGCAAATTGATTTTTAAAGGAGCTACAGTTTTCTGCAGTTTATAATTCAAAAGTCTTCTTGGAACTAATGGTGCAACTACAATAGTCTACAGGTGACATCGGGACTTAATGTTTTTTATCAGATTAGATTAAATTTGTTATATTAATTTTATTAAACAGAACCCTACCTAGTGAAAATTGACTTTGTTAAAGTTACGCTATGAACTCCTCACAGATGTTCTTATTATTATGGTATTTTCTATGCATGGTCTACTTTAAGGGTTTTGAAATGTTATGTTTAATTTAATCCAGAAGTCCATGCGGTTTTGAGAAAGGAGTTCTGTAGCTGCTGAACCAATTTTAAAAACACTATCAGTGGCAACCTGCAGCACAGGTTATGACTATATTTACATTTAGAGGAAAATCAATTGTTTGTTCCTATTTATATTTCTTAGCTTTGACTAATATACAGCACATACAAGAGGGAGGAGGTGATAAAATGATTATACCATTTCAGATTATAGACAAAATGCAACTTCTGAAGTTTCTCTCATAATAAATTCTTCATAAACATAAAACTAATATAGCAAGGCACCAACTAAAAATGGATATTTGTCCTAGAAGGACAACTTTGTCCTCCCATGGAAATTCTTTTCGTTTAAACTGAAGGATTTTTTTTTAACAATGACATATTTAATTTTTAATCAGAAGTCGTACAATGCTGTCTGCAACAAACATAATGCCACAAGCAAAAGTGCTTATTACACAATAAATTTTACTTAAGATTTAAAGTGTATATACTTTACCAGGATCAAGTAGTAGTGACTCTTTTTCTGAGAATCTATTCTCAAGATTATTCATAATGAAATCTTCTTGAAAAACATGAAGTAGCTGCATTTTCTCACCATGCTAAATTTAAAAAAGTTACACTTTAAATATAATAAAGAGTGGCAACAATCTAAATACTATAAAATAAGTTAATTAGTTTATGATATAAATATTAAATACTTGGCTAACAACAAATACTTGGCTAACATTGTTTTTTGTTGTTTTATTCATCAATATTTTACTGAAGAAGTTAAAATAAAGCATGAGATAAAATAATAGTAAATCTTACCAGCTCTGTAATAGAATTCAGTTCTACAATGCAACCAGGTCTAGCTGTAGATTGCTGACTTATGATGTTAAAAAATTTGCCAACATATCTCTGAAATTAGTAACAAAAGCCAGTAATTGTCATGTAATTATAGTATTAATTTCATTAATTTCTTCATTTTGATTTACTGACAATTAGCCATAGTAATAGGAAGTATTTTTGTACCAACAACCTAGTAATTGCTTATAGTAAAAAAACTAACTTTAATGGTGCATTTGCTTCTTGTTTTGTTGTATGTAGGCAATGCTTAAGTGAACCAATTGGATAAAATATTTTGCATATCATGGAATATTTAAACAACTAATTAAATTGCATTTTACCTTATAAAAACAAGTACAAACCATATTTACCTGTTTTTTTTGTTTTCTTGAATATAATCAGAAGGCTATAAAATCTATTTATTTATTTAAATTTATAGTCACCCAACTCTAAAGGATTCTAATAGTCATTGGGCTAGATATCTCAATCTTCTCTATTGTATTTTGTTTTCATGTTACTTTTTACTTACTATATTATTCGCACTATAAGATGTACTTTTCCCCCCCAAAAGTGGGTGGAAATGTCTATGCGTCTTAAGAATGAATACTGTGGTGGGGGGAGGGGGATTGGGGAACACTGGAGCCTTCACTGCTGAGCAGTTGATTGGTGGATCGGCCTCCCGGAATACTGCCAATCAGTTGTTCTATGTGGCGGGAATTACCACTGCTACCTCCGCCTATCGCCGCACATTCACCCATTTGCTGCATCAAGTCCACTGGCGCCCATTGGCGGCGATTGGGCAGTGGTAATTGGGCAATGGTGAACAGGTAGCAGCAAATGGGTGGGTGGCAATTGGGCAGTGGCAAATGGGTGGCAA